AGTGCAGCTCGGTTTTTGTTTTGATTGGATAATGAACTGGGGAAAGTAGGCATGTTGTTAAAAGGTCTGTTAGCTGAACTGATAAAAGTTAGTCTCTTACCAAAAGCAATGGAAAATCCAATTTTATCCGCTTTTAAAATTGACCAGTAGTGCTTGTAACAACATAATGGTGTGGGTTGGGGGTTATTTAAAAATGCTCCCACAAGACACATGCTGCTTATCACAGCTTCTCAAGCTGTGCCTGGAGGGTCTTAACCCTTCACCCAGTCCTGTTATGTAACATAATATAAACAGTGCCCCCTAGAGTTGTGCAGCCCTCTAACCTATACCCTGTCCTATTACAGAACCTTTTTTCCCCTCATCTGGAATTCCTTATAATCCCAATTTTGATTAAAAACAAAAACAATATATATATATATATATATATATATATATATATATTCATATATATTTCATATATATATGAAAAAAGCAGGAATAAGTAAAAGGTTTGTAGTTGAATCTCTACAAAGAGAGATGTGAGCTCTTGATACTTTTCCTAGACAGAGAATGATCTCTTATTTTCCTTTTCATGGCGCAGGGGACAAGACAGGTAGACCAGTCTTTGAGAGGTGGGCTGCAATGGGAAGCAGAGGGACAGGGCAGTCATTTGGAGGGCTCGTGGCATGTGAGAGGGCTATGTTAGGAGTGGGAGACCCTTGAGGCCCAGGATGAGGAGGAAGGACGACCCTGGGACAGCAGCAGCACTGATGGCCTGGAGAGCAACCCGTCCAGCCTGGAGCAGCTCAGAGGGCTCTAGGAGAGACTTCTTGAAGAAGATGAGGTTGGCTGAACACCCAGTTGAATTTGACCACACTGAGAGGAGAGTTAGTTATTGCACAACTGGGAGAGAATTTAGGAATAAGGTAACATAGAAAACACAGTAGGCAACATTTTTAAAAAGACAATGATTAATTCCAGGGAAAAACAAAAAGCTGTGAAGGAGAAATAATCATAGTACATGATATGACTCAGCTATGACAGCAATAAAGGCAACCAGCATGTCTGTTTTGCTTATCACAGTTTCCTTAGGACTGAGCACATAGCAGGTACTCAACACATACTTACTGAATGAATGATGAAATGGATAAAGCAGATTTAGAAGTCAGTGCTCGCCATTTATACAAAGATAAGCATAATTAAAGTATTGACAGGCAAAATTGGCCAGTATCGAGGAATTGTCTTAAAATGCTTAGGAAAAAAAAGAAGTATGGAAACAAGATAAAACAAGAGTGACAAATGTTCATGACAAGTGATGGGGAGATAAGGATTTACATTCATCTCTCTACTTTTGTGTATATTACAAAATTCCTTTTAAATAAAAGAGAAATAACTACAAAGTTTGTACAGAAAGAGGCCTGGAAGGAAGAGGCAGCATTATGACATAAATATATTAAATTCAGAGTTCAATAATTAGGAAGGTTATTTGAATAACAGGGAATATATAAATAAAAAACGAAGGTTATTTGAATAACAGGGAATATATAATAAAAAATGAAACATCAGCTGAAACCAGTTTGGCTCAGTGGATAGAGCATCGGCCTGCAGACTGAAAGATCCCAGGTTTGATTCCGGTCAAGGGGATGTACCTTGGTTGTGGGCACTTCCCCAGTAGGGAGTGTGCAGGAGGCAGCTGATCAGTGATTCTCTCTCATCGATGTCTCTAGCTCTCTACCCCTCTCTCTTCCTCTCTGTAAAAAATCAATAAATTATATATTTAATAAAAAAAATGAAACATCAGAAAGAAAAGCATGTCAAAGGCAAACATTGTGCCAGCCCATTAGCCCAAAAAGCTAACTAAAATAAAATAAATAAAAAATAAAATAAAATAAAATAAAATAAAATAAAATAAAATAAAATAAAATCTGACTGAAAGAAGGGGTAAGTAGTACTTAGTGAAGACATGGAAAGGGAGAATTGAATGAAGTACTGGAGTTGCTGGAAATTAACAATTTTATCCTTCAATATAGAGAACCTGAAGAACAGAACTGGACGTCCCAACTGAAAGGCTCATATTACAATATGAATAATCTGGGCTCTGGAGTCAGACTAACCTGGTTGAATCCTGACTCAACATGTTCTAGTTTGACCATGCGTAAGTTGTTTAGCCTCTCTGATCCTTAGTTTTCTATCTATAAAATGGGGATAGTAACAACACAAGTGAGAAACAGTTATTGGAGACTTATTTTTTTTTAATATATTTTATTGATTTTGAACAGAGAGGAAGGGAAAGAGATAGAGAGCTAGAAACATTGATGAGAGAGAGTCATCGATCAGCTGCCTCTTGCACAACCCCCCCTGGGGATGTGCCCGCAACCAAAGTGCATGCCCCTGACCGGAATCAAACCCGGGTCCCTTCATTCCCCAAGCCGACGCTCTATCCACAGAGCCAAACCGGCTTCAGCCAGTTATTGGAGACTTAAATGAAATAATACATGTCAAGTCTTACCCATGCCTGACTTGTGGTAAATGGTTAATAAATAGTTTTGGGAAGGGATTCTGCCAATAAAACAAAGCTCTTACCAGTTAAGTTAAAAAGGAACAATCTTGCCAGAAAACCATCTGCGCCCTTTGTAGTCCTGCCCTGTCCCTCAGCCCTAGAGAACCTCCCAAGATGCAGTGACACTCACAGAATAGCCAACCAGTCCAAAAGTCCTGCCTGAGGACATATGGGGCCAGACACCAGGCAGGATAATAGGGGTGTCTGGTCTGGGAGCTCGGGACAACTCACAGCTGGAGAGAGACACAAATCTCAGCTAACAAAGCAAAGAGGGAAATCCCCAAGATTCACATTGTCTCTGAGAGAAAAACAGGCCTGTTGTGCAGGAAAAGTTAAATTTTCCCTGACCTAGAGTCTGAGAGTTTTCATAAAGGTAGAGGGAAAGTACACAGGATGCATGGTAAAGAATGGTGAGAAAGTGAGAGCCTGACCAGAGTGGTGGAGTGCCATCCAGTGCACCAACAGGTTGCCAGTTCAATTCCCAATCAGGGACATACCCAGGTTACAGCTCCATCCCCAGTCAAGAAGTGTTGCTGAAACCGGTTTGGCTCAATGGATAGAGCGTCGGCTTGGGGACTGAAAGGTCCTGGGTTCAACTCCGGTCAAGGGCATATACCTTGGTTGCGGGCATGTCCCCAGTAGGGGATGTGCAAGAGGCAGCTGATCGATGACTCCCTCTCATCGATGTTTATAACTATCTCTCTCCCTTCCTCTTTGTACAAAATCAATAAAATATATTTTTTTAAAAAAGTGTACTGAAGGCAACTGATTGATATCTCTCTCTCTCTCTCTCTCTCTCTCTCTCTCTCTCTCTCTTCTCCCTCTTCCTCTCTCTAAGCATTTCTCTAGTGAGGATTAAAGCAAACAAACAAAACAGAGATGTTAGGCTATACGTGTCTCACACACACACACACCACTGCTAGATGGTGCCCAGCAGGCAATGAGGAGCTATGTGAAGGCGTCCCGTCAGGTTCAGCAGAGATTATGCTTTATAACAATGCTCTAGTAAAGGGGGTGGGAGGTCTGAAGTATAAAAAAGGGTAGTCCAGAAACACTAAGTTATGATGGCAGTAACCAGCAGGTCACAGTGCTCAGGTACCTAGGCACAGCTGTGGGGAAAACAGCCTGGTCCAGCTGACAGAGAACTGGAAATGGGCAGGTTGCAGAACATGAAAAGGGCCAAGGGGCTATGGACTCGAAGGGCTAGGAAGAATGGGACTGAGCTGACTCATCAAAGATCCCCAAAGCAGGACCCAAACACTTCATCACTGTGAAGACGGGGCATAACGACCTGTCTATGATTTGGGGCAGAAGCCAAGAGGTTGGCTTAAGTACTGAGCACAGAGAAGCCAGTGGTAAACTCTCAGGCAAACCATGATAAAGCGTTTTGGAGGGCTATTAGCAACTGCCAAGAGAAGAGGCTCAAGGGAGATGGAGCTGCAGGGAGGGTGGTTGGGAGATAGAGAGGAAGGGGATTCCGAAACATCTCTGCAGGAGATGAGGACTTGGACCTGGGGTGAAAAGGGCCTGTGCAAGCAACTCAGAAGAAAGGAGCAATCAATATATTGAGGGCTGGGAAGTGGATGTACAGGAGAGACACCCCTGAGGTATACGCTGAAATAATAACAATGTTTATAAAATAAACTAAGTGGAGCTGAAAGGACTCAGGGTCCCAGCTTGGAGTATGGTTACAAGTACTTCTCAAAGCAAAACTCAAAGCCTTAAAAAAGGATTAGCTATACAATTATGGTAAATTTTGTAAGGCCTACTCTAATAGGTTTCAGTTTCCTTTATTAAATTTTCATAGAGACTGGAGGTTTGACATAAGTACGAATTTATTGACATCAATTCCTTAAGCTATTATTCCAACACAGAGAGAGTACTGAAGAGCTGGAGACAATGATAATAAACCCACGAGATCTGAAATGTGCAAGGCCCACTCCCTCAGAGAGAGAGAGAGAGAGAGAGAGAGAGAGAGAGAGAGAGAGAGAGAGAAGTCTGTCTTCAAAAAGAATCTGGAAACTGCTTTCAATTATAGCAAGAAGTAGTGAGTTTGACAATGTAAGCATTTTATCCAGAAACATATATCTATTCCATAGATACCAAATCGATTACCATATAATTGAGTTTGAAAATATACAAAATATTTGTTGTTCTTACATACTGAAATTAAAACCTAATTTTAAAAAGTGCACGGTAAAAACAGCGTAAGGAAACCTACAATATCCATGGTATGTGTATAGTTTTCCATTTTACTGTCAACATCCAATTCTGTATTTGCCTCACTGGTTACAAATATATTTTAAATGTTTCAAGGCCATGTACAACACTGACTAGTTTACTAGGTCCAACAACGCTCCAGCTTCCGGACGGTGGCCAGCACTGGACGTGGAGGCGTGGCCCTGTAGCTCCTGCAGCAGTAGCAGCTCTGGAAAGAAGTCACCAACCAGGTATGTGTAAACTATCGACCCTTGTTCTTTTTAGAATTTCCCTGGGGGGAAGGAGGGATAAGAAAAGGAAGGGGGGAAAAATCAACAATAAGGACACAAACTTCAAGAAAAATATTTCACATAGTTTAACGACCAAGCTGCCTGGAAGCCATATTTCACTTTGGACAATTTTAGTTTCCAAGAGGAGAGATAACCATGCATTACAAACTTTTATTCAGTAATCACAAAGTACTCCCTACTTAAGTTTATGAGCTCCATCCCCCTAAGGACCGAGGACAGACAAAAAAGAAAGAAAATAGAGTTATCTTGGATTTAGCAAACCTCAAATATTCCTTCTGTTCCGAAGACAAGGGAGTTTATGACTTCATGAAACTGAATAAAAATTTTAGCCTACACATGTTTCTTTGTTGTTTAAAACAAATACCTTTAAAGGGTCTTAATAGATCAAATGTCAATGATTATCTGTCAAAAGGAAGTGCGGATACTGGTTGAAAACAAGCTAGAGGGGAAGATGTCTTATTCCCAATTCCCTCACAATACAGACATTTGGACTTTCCAGTTTTGCTTTCTGGAGAAGTTCACGCTTTAGAAAAACATTCTCATTAAATTCCTATACTTAACTATTAAATATAAATACATTCTTTTCATGTAAGTGGGAAATGCTTGCAGAATACAAACAGTAAGAGCAAGATAATCGCAAGCAAATGGTTCCAGGATGTTTACTTGGTATCCAGTAGAGACAATGTCAACTCTGCCATAAGATAATGCTTTGGCAATCTGAATTACTAATGGATAGGGAGAGAAAAAAAGCAATAGGGATCATAGAATAATCAGAGAAAGGTTAACAACATATACTACCACGTGAAGAAGGATCTCTAACTCAGTGTTTTATTAATGACAGGTATTTTAAGGGCTAGACTTACAAGTTCTGAGAGGAGCTTGAAAATTCCCTAACCTCAAAGGTGGCTGCAAAGAGCTCTACTGTACTCAACAAGAACCCTTCTGCGTTCAGAACCACATGCCTTCCACCACTCTGGAGTCTGAAGTCCCCCTGCTACTTTCTTTCATATGTAAGGTGCCAAACGGGCTTCCTCGTATTACTCACACTAATGTATGTGCTTTCTACTTGACTAGCTATTGCCCTGCTGCAATAGCAAGAGGCCAAAAGGATTAAAGGAGGCATTCCTCAAGAGGACCAACCCCCACCCCCTATACCTCCAAGAGCTCAAGTTTCCTGAAGCACAAGTAACAGGAAAACCATAATCAAAGCCACATTGACTGGTTACAGTCATCACATGATGTCCCAGAAAAGCATCATAGACACTCTGAGGTAGCCAGAGGCCATCACGAAACTACCCTGAGAACACAGACTCTACTACATTACAGTGATGTATTTCCCAAGGAGATGCTAACTAAGCAGAATGCTGCCCTGAACCACCACGAGCAGATGCTAAAATAAAGCGATGGTTTGTGCATCTCTATTTCCTACCCAGATCTAGCACATAGCAGGAACTCAATAACTGCTTGTTACATCAATGAGGGAAGCCGTGAATTTCAAAGAGCACAGGCTGGAGACACTACCAAGCTGGTGGTGGTACAGTATTGTCTGAGTTACCAAAATGTGCTAAGCATCTGAGATGCATGGTAGCAAGCCCTGGACCCCTGAACCCGACCTTTCATGATATGTGGATATGAGTTTCAACATAAAAATAATGCCAATAGCCACTTGGCCCCAGCCTGGAGGCTCTCTGTGAAATTAATTCAAAGAAATATTTTGGAATTAAAAGGACAAGACATTCTTAGGCTATATAGATATAGATGAGAATAAATTTGGTAAAGAGAATTATTCTACAACAGCACCATTTTAGATTCATATAAAAAAAAAAGCAAGCCCTATCATAAACCTCCTAAGAGACCCTGAACTTACCAAACAGTAGCAGAAATGCCAAAAAACAAAGGACACAGGGCCTTAGAAGGTCTTCTCTCAACTTAGAACTCAGCCAAAGAAGCTTAATTAATTTTACTTTTAGATAAAAAGACAAGATATATATTTCTAAATTCTTTAAATCTCTTAGCCCTTTCCTCCTGAAATGCACAGCAACGAAATACCTTATATGAAATATTCTATTGTAGAGAGCCTGCCCTCTCCCCTCCCTTACCTTAGTGGACATCTTTAGTATGTCAATCTCTTCTCTTTGTTTAGACAGTGTCTCATTCATGCTGCACAGGTGGTCACTCATCATACTTAACTGACCCTCATAACTTCTCTTGGTAGTTGTCAGTTCATCCTAAATGGCAAAGGAACAAAAGAAACAAAAATTCAAAACCCCATTAGTCATACCACTCTGAAGCTTTTGTAATTTATTTAAAATTTTTTGGAAAAAGCAACTTATCTAAATGATCTATTATGATCAATTAATATGAAGTTTAAGCCAAAGGCTTAGTAACAAAAGAACAAAGTTAAAAGAAATGGGGAAAACGTTTTTCTCAGTCTTCCAAGTGTTCCAAATGTCTTTACAAAAATAAAGGCATACCCTTCTATGCAAAGTATAAAATTGTCACAAACACAAAAGTGAGTTATTGCTCTTTTCAAGTTCCCTATGGTTTTCCCAAGCCTTTGATGATGTGAGGAGTCCCAGAAGTGGACGGCCCAGAGCCCTCTAGATAGGATGTTCCTTGAAAGAGGCACCTTCCTCTCTCTTCCCATCTCTCAGGCTCTCTTCAGCCCCTTAAACTCTAATCCGGTGCTCCCAGCTAATCTAATAAACTAATCTGAAACCAGAAGGAAGTGGGTGTTGCTGTGCTAATGTGTTTATTATTTGCCTGTATCATGTTTATAGTTAATAAAAGTTTTCTGGAAACAAGGGTTTAAAACAAAGCAATAAGGAGAAATATTTTGCAGCCCTACTTTTTCATTTAGATCAATTTTATGAAACAGTAAAGAGAATAAACAGAATAAAAATAATGAGACAAGAATTAGTAAGGAGGAAGAGAGAAAGAACAATGGGTAAATAAGTAGTAAAGAAATGCTTTCATATTGACATGTTGTGAGTCATACCACCATATATGTGGAATGAAAACATGAAATACGCTCAGTGCTTCTGTAAATACCAGAATTTTAATCCATAATTGGCAACTTGGACATAAGCAGATAAATATTCTGTTGACTCAGCGAAGGTGGCACTTTGTAACTAAAATATCCCAGCATTTATCCTTTTCTTTGCAATTGTGTTGGAAGTTTTGGTAAGTCGCGAAATGTAAAGAAGTTGCATGAAGGGTATAGAGAGATATAACTATTTGCGTTAACTATTTCATATACTTCATACTTCATTTAAAGCGGATAATGACAGATAATATTCGGCTAAAAGTGTTGTTTGTATAATGAATTATCTTCTTATTTATAAAGTAAAAGTAATTTTACTTACCAAAGAAAGAAATGTTGACTACAAAACTATTTAAAATTAAAATCAAGTCAGAGAGCCGAAACCGGTTTGGCTCAGTGGTAGAGCGTCGATCTGTGGACTGAAAGGTCCCGGGTTCGATTCCGGTCAAGGGCATGTACATTGGTTGCGGGTACATCCCCAGTAGTGGGTGTGCAAGAGGCAGCTGGTCGATGTTTCTCTCTCATCGATGTTTCTAGCTCTCTATCTCTCTCCCTTCCTCTCTGTAAAAAATCAATAAAATATATTTTTTTTAAATCAAGTCAGAGAAACAAACACCACTACCACTTTTTACCTTACACAAGTAAAATGTTACTTTAAGATGAGTTAGAAACAAAGTGGTTAGGAAAATAAGTGTCTAGAGGTCGAATGCCACTACTTTAGAAAAAATGCTGCCCAAGAACTTTCAATGAAATAAACCTATGAAAACTGCTTCGGTAGTACTTATTAACTCACCTGAAGTCTGCTGATGTTCTGACTGGCCACTTTCATCTCCTCTGTCAGGGTCTCCTTGGACTTTTCAGCCAAGGCCAGTCTTTTAGAGAGTGCTCGGCACTGTTAAATCAGAAAGCATTCCATTATCACAGGGAGAATTTCCCAAAAGCAAATTTACTTCAAACAAGATTATTATAAAAGAATCTCCCAAACCAAAGCTCTACCTTCTTCCTCCCTTCCTTCCCCAAATTTCTGCAGAATATCTACAGGCCTAGTACCAGACACTAGAATACACATAAGGAAGATGTGGCCTGACTCTCGTCATTCTTAAATAACATCAAAAGCATTTATCACTGAATATTGTTTAAATGTAAAAAATCCAGCAACACTGAACAAAAAATGGAGATATGGCATCTAGAACCCATATCAGCAATGAAATAAGACATTACTACAGATTCCAAGATTTTTCTAGTATCAACGGAAATATAAGAGGTAAACTGAGGCAAGCTCCAAGGACCAAAGATTGGGTCTCTTCGGGAACAGAGAAACTGCAATTCGGGACATGGAAACTATAGTAAGCTACAGGTGAGTTCACTAAGGATTTGGAGCAAAGAGGTGGTAGGAAGCTACAGTCCAAGCACAAACTTTATTGTCTTGAGGATGGGGAGAAGCTCTTGTTGGAGGTTCATTGATCGAAGGTTGTTTCTGTTTTCTATAAATCAAGTGTTTAAGGGAAATCACTCTTTCAGTCTTTAAATTTAGTTTACCTGACAACCATATGTGAGACTCCCCATTTCATGTCATCCAATTCTCTTTTAGAATGAAATCTTTTCACAATAAATATAAATGCATCTTATGGAGAAAGAGGTAATCCAATTTAGATAAAGCGAACTAATATCCAAAATTTATTTTCTAAGACAGCCTCAAGAATAAATAGATTAATGTAGTTCCATTTGTTTGTTTTGTTTTGTTTCCTTTGCCTAAGGAGATGGATCAGAAAAAAATATTGCTAAGGTCACTTTCATAATTTTAATAAGGAAACAGAATGTCTACTAACCCAAGCTCATCGATGTTTTTCCCTAGCTCTAATCCAACAACCAGTGGTTGCAAAAAACATAACAAGTTTTTACATTTACCCAGGATTCATTTATACTCCAGACTGGACAAAAAGGAAGTGGTTATTTCAAACATTATCAATCATGTCTGACCAGGCAATATAGATCCTAAGATGCTTTTCTTGTGTCTTGAGTTCTTTATTAAAGACCACATTACAGAAACAATAAACGCTTTACAACCCTGCTCTACAAATTATGCTCTATCCATATATTTATAGAGCATAATTTGTATATATATAATAAAAGTGAAGGCAGAAAAGTAAAAGTCCCAGTTGCTTTCTTTGTTTTCTTTTTCTTTTTTTTACCAAACCTAACCTATCCAGAGACAGAAGATAAAAGAAAAAATCAATTTCACTCTCTTTTTTAAGAGGGTCTGCCATAAAAGGATCACTAAACTTTCTGATAAGGCCAAAAGACTGTCAAGGAGGATCTATTGAGACACATATGCATGCTGTGTTGACATCAGATGCTCAGAGGAATCATTCCAGTAAAGTCATAAGGGGACACTACTTCCTGTTTACAAATGAGGAAAAAGTAGGACAATTTAAAAATTCTTGTATCACAATTGTTCTGAAGACATCCACTAAAATAAGCAAGTTTCTGGGAAATAAAACAGCCTCAAAAACCCCATCATTTCAGGAAAGCTCAGCCAAACACCCTCTGTTAACCAAACATTTATGTGCTCAAGCACTAACCCTGAAAAAGAGGGAGAGAGTTTTACAAGATGGCTTCATGAAGATAACAATCAAGTCAGGGACACCAGCTCAGAAGGTAATTAGGGATCCAAATAAGGACATAACTGTGTGCTGCACTGTGTGACTCAGGTGGTAAGTACTCCAGCAGTTCCGTTGTAAGCCATCCAGTCCGCTGCTCTCCCATTTTCTAGAGCCCTGCAAACTGTCCCTGTTGATCAAACAGGTATGTAATGGTTGTTTGTGAACAACATATGTAATGGTTGTTTGTGAACAACACCGAGAGGCACATCATTTATTTTAGCAGGAAACAAAGAAGCCAAGCAACTGGCCACCCATCAACTTCTCCATCTCCATAGTTAATAGTGAAAATCACAGTCAGTTCCATTAAAGGATGTTGTCTTTTTTGGTGGGTTTTTTTTGTTTTGTTTTGTTTTTGTTTTGTTTTGTTTCTTTAACAATTACAGCATTATAATTCTCTGTTTGACATCTATAGCTGACCTTTTAATATCAAGTTTCATATTGGAGACCTTACAGGCATTCTTTTTTTTTTTTAATAAATCTTAATTGTTCCTATTATTATAAATAGTCCTCATTTTTCCTCTCCATTGCTCCCCTCCACCAGGTTCCCACCCCACCCTCTGCCCTTTCTCCACCCCCATTGTCCTCATCCATAGGTGCACAGTTTATGTTCAGTCTCTTCCTGCACCCCCCACTCCCTTTTTCCCCGAGAATCATCAGTTCATTCCCCTTCCAAACCTCTAATTCTATTATATTCACCAGTTAATATTGTTCATCAGATTATTTAATTCCCTTGGTTTTTAGATTCACTTGTTGATAGTTATGTATTTGTTGATCATAATTTTTATCTTTATTTTCTTCCTCTTCCTAAAGAACCCCCTTCAGCAATTCATATAATTCTGGTTTGGCGGTGATGAACTACTTTAGCTTTTTTTTTTTTTTTATTAATGAAGCTCTTTATCTGGTCTTTGATTCTGAGTGATAGCTTTGCTGGATAGATTATCTTTGGCTGTAGGTTCTTACTATTCATCACCTTGAATATTTCTTGCCATTCCCATCTGGCCTGCATGGTTTCTGTTGAGAAATCAGCTGACAATCATATGGGTGCTCCTTTATAGGTAACTACCTGCTTTTCTCTTGCTGCTTTTAATATTCTGTCTTTTGCTCTTGGAATTTTAATGATTATGTGTCTTGGTGTGGTCCTCTTTGGATTCCTTTTGTTTGGGGTTCTGCAGGCTTCCTGGACTTGGAAGTCTATTTCTTTCCCCAGGTGGGGGAAGTTTCCTATCACTATTTCTTCCAGTATTCTTTTTTTTTTTTTTTTTAATATATTTTATTGATTTTTTGCAAAGAGGAAGAGAGAGGGATAGAGAGTTAGAAACGTCGATGAGAGAGAAGCATCGGCCAGCTGCCTCTTGCACACCCCCTACAGGGGATGTGCCCGCAACCAAGGTACATGCCCTTGACTGGAATCGAACCTGGGACCTTTCAAACCACAGACCAACGCTCTACCACTGAGCCAAACCGGTTTCGGCTCTTCCAGTATTCTTTCGGTATTTTGCTCTCTCTCTTCTTCTGGGATCCCCATAATTCTGATGTTGGTTCGCTTGAAATTATCCCAGAGGTTTCTTACACTATCTTCAATTTTCTGGATTCTCTTATCTTCTTGCTTCTGCAGAGGAGTGTTCTCTGACTCTTTGTGTTCTAAATCTTTGTCTTGATTCTTGCGATCTTCCAGTCTGTTTTTAGGACTCTGTGTAATATTTTTTATTTCAGACAATGTTTTCTTTATTTCTAGTTGATCCCTTTTTATTTCTAGTTGATCCCTTATTATTTCTAGTTGATCCCTTTTCATATCCTCATAGGTCTCATTTATTTTATCGGCCTTTTTAAGGATATTATTGAAAAGCCTTATAACAGTGGTTTTGAATTCAATGCCCATTCTTTTCTTTTCCTCCATCTCCTTCCTTTGTGTCCTGCCTCTTGACTGCATTTTGTTCACTGATTTGATGGAATAGTTTTGTGTTAGGTGTTCTGGTAGAGCCCAGTAGCACAGCCTTCCCAGTTACCTGCAGCAGACAGTCTTGGTGTAGCCCTTTGTGGGCTATGTGTGCAGTCTTGTTGTTTTAAGCCTTGCTTATCACTGGGAAGCGTTGATCTCCAAGCCAACTGGCTGTGAGGATCAGCAGTGTCTCAGGTAGGAGGGCTTCTGTACTCCACTTGGACAGGGCAGAGTCTCAGGGTGGCGCAGACAATCTTTGGTTCCCTGTCAGTCTCCTATTTGTGGTGAGTCTCGCAAGATTGGTTGCAGACTCGCGCACCTCTTTGGTAAAGGCGCAGGCAAGCTTTGGATTCCAGCCAGTCCCTCCTTAGAGAAAGCCAGCCTCTGGGAGAGCTTCTGTGCTCAGCTTGGATGGGGCGGAATCTCGGGGTGGTGCAGACAAGCTCTGTTTTCCCGTCAGCTCCTCCCCAAGTGGCTCCTCCCCAAGTCCCGCAGTAATGGCCATTGGCTTCACACATCTCTGGGAGATCTCTGCCTGCTGCCTGACAATCTGGCCTCTCCCTGACTGGGGCCGTCTATTAGAGCATAGGGTGATTCTGTTTTCCTCTCGAACAAGAAAGCCAGCCGCACATTAGCTGTGCGCCCTCTCCGCACGCCGGGAGTAAGCCAGTAGCGAACTCGGCCCAGCCCACCCTCTTCGCGCACTGGGAATAAGCCAACGCCTTTTCGCACGCACAGTTCTCCGTACCTTCACAGTTTCTAAGGATCGGCGCGCCTTTTCTCTCCTTCCTCGATGGCAGAGCCTCCTCTCAGCTAGCTGTCCGGTGCTTCAGGGCAATGCCTTTCCTGTTTTCCAGTTCTAAATTCAAATTTGTTGTGGTAGGCTGCATTCGGGTGTCTACCCTATGCCGCCATCTTGGTTTCTCCCGGCATTCTTATATTCACTCTACCTTATCATTCGTTTCTTACTTTTTGATAGTGGTAGCTTCTTCCTTCATTTTCTCCCCTTCTAATCTAGAATTGTGTATAATTTTATTGATTATTTTACATAGTGTTTTTCCAATTCTCTTTTAAAAATGAATTATTTAGTGAGGAAAGAAGAAACTATAACAAAAAGTAAAATTTCATACTTTTAAAGGTTGAAAAAAAGGTTATATTTTTATCACAGAAACTAACTTCAACAAAATTGCAAAGTACCTTTTAATAAAAGGAAAAGGACATATTTTATTTTTTAATTTCCCTATATAAAAATTCTTTGGCCAATAGCTGTCTATAACTATCTAAAGCAAGTAATCTATAATAATAATATTCCAAAACATTCATAACCATCAGAAAAGCTACCTATCAGACTCAATTATATTTTAGTAACTTGGAAATGACAAATCAGTCCTATATTTACTGAAATGAAAATTTTTGGTTGGTATGTAAACCAATCAATATGAACTCCAATCAAATTCATGGATGAATAGATACTGACGTCTCTCTTCTAGTGAACAGCAGGAGACCAGGACCGTGACCTAATTCCTGAAGGGGTTAGGAACAATCCACCAAATCTCATTAACTCTCCACTCACCTCAGCATAAAAATGCACGGACTTGCTGTCCGCCAGCTGTAGCTGAGATGTCAGTTCCACTATCCTTGCCATGTAGTGATTTTTAATTAGGTCTTCACGAGATTCCACATCTGGAACCTAAATAGAGCACACATAACTAAATAAATGAATGCCAGTGAGATGAAGTAGTTCTAGAAAAAAAAAATAAATAAACATCACTTTAGGATACAGAAGAGACAATATTTTGTACATTGTCATTTGAAATTTGATGGGGGATCATAGTTTTTTTACCCCACAAAGAAACTTCAGACAGGGCAGGCAAATGAATACTCCAAATTTCCCTTTTTTTTCCCCCCAAATATATTTTTTCCAAATTGATTTCAGAGAAGAAGGGAGAGGGTGAGAAATAGAAACGTCAATGATGAAAGAGAATCACTGATTGGCTGCCTCCTGCATGCCCCACACTGGGGATCGAGCCAGAAACCAGGCAGATGTCCTGACCAGGAATCAAACCATGACCTCCTGGTTCATAGGACTACGCTCAACCTGTCAGCCAACACGGCCAGGCTCCAAATTACTTTTTCGACACCCTACCTATCTCAGAATGAAGCTATGGCTTCAAGAAAACAGAGCGTATTGGGAAGCCCTGGCCCATGTCCTTCCATCCTTTCATTAACCACAAACCTGTCTTTTAAAATTTCCATCTGTCTGATTCCTATATCCTCTTCTAACTGGAAGAAGGCAAGAAAAACGGGACATGTATTGAAACCTCTAAAATCTGAACATTCTTGCCCTGACCGGTTTGGCTCAGTGGATAGAGCATCGGCCTGCAGACTGAAGGGTCCCAGGTTCGATTCCGGTCAAGGGCATGTATCTTGGTTGCGGGCACATCCCAGGTAGGGAATGTGCAGGAGGCAGCTGATGGATGTTTCTCTCTCATTGATGTTTCTAACTCTCTATTCTTCTCTTTTCCTCTCTGTAAAAAATCAGTAAAATATATATTTTTAAAAATAAAATAAAATCTGAACATTCTTTCCCCCCCCCCAACGTTATCTTAAATCAGGCTCTGATGCTCTTAAAGAGATGCTAACAAATTAAACTATTTCTATAAGGAACAGTTACGAGCCTTGTCCCAGACTAGCATTTCTTCTGGTTACTCTAGCAATGACACACTACTGGGTTCGGTTAAAAAATATACGCAGCAAAGTATAGAGCCAATAAGGAAAGCAAAGAATTTAACAACTTGAACTATCTTTACCAGCTCACCATACTGAGTGGTAAGATGCTTATTTATAAAGTTACATCTTATGATATTTCAAAACTCTAATGGGCAAACCTCTGTGGCAAGCCAAGTCTGACCTGGGTTCACTCACTCGAGGGCTGGACACAGCTAGCAGGCACACTGTCCCTCAAGGCCTGCCCAGTGGGAGGGCTAAAGGCGCTCAGCTTCTCCCCAGCATGCCAGCCAGCTAATGGTCACATCTTGTCAAACTGCCAAGTCAAGTCATTCAACGAGACATTAACAAAGCAGGCTGTAATTTGCTGGTGACAGTTAAAATAGAGCCAAAGAGAAAAGCCAAATGGATCCACTGATGGAGGGGAAAACACTGGTTCCACATTTGCTAGAATGGTCAGAAAACACACTTAGACAAAGCTGATTGTTGTAAGACTTTGTCAACAAACATGCAGCCCGATATTTACTAACAAAACAACATGATGCCAAGCACACTTTACCTCACTGTCAGATGTCCTGGTTAAAATCCCAACCTAGAACACAAGGAGAAGAATTCTTTAGAACAGACTGTTTACATTTCAAACACAACAACTTAAAACAATGTAATATTTTCTCTTCTCAGTTCATACTTGTAAAGCACACTGGGCCTGGAGTACTAGGTCACTCTTGGATTGTGTTTTACTACAAGGAAGCAATACCTGCAGACAGGTAACCACATTTGTTATTTCTGCCATGAGGTGGTAAAGGACATTTATCACTATTTCCTTTAACAAATGCTGTTAATCATTTTTTTCACTGAAACCAATAAATTGGGAAGAGACAAGAGCTTCTGACTCCCCTTGTCATTTCTGTGCTTATTTCCAAAGCAGTAGCTGAGATGGTGACCATCATAATAGAATATTTCAAACAGAAAATAAACACACACACAAAACTGGCTAAAAATTCAAAAGAAGACGAAAGAAATACATGTTTGATACAAGTTGTTATATCAATAAATATTCATTTCATATTTAAATCAATGAGAATGTAATTTTAGACACATTAAAGTGCTGCGAGGCTTTTAAAGCTTGCTTTTTTATGGATTACGACTTCAAAATCAGATAGTCATGCCCTGGCTGGCATGGCTAAGTGGACAGAGCAAAGGTCCTCACACCAAAGAGTCACAGGTTCGATTCCCAGTCAGGGAGACGTATCTGTATTGCAGGTTCAATCCCTTGCCCTAGTCATGTCTCTCTCATACTGATGTCTTTCTCTCTCTCAATCCCCAACCCACACACACTCCCTTCCACTCTCTAAAAATCAATGGAAAAAATAACCTCAGGTGAGTATAACAAGAAAATAACAACAAAAAAGATAGTTATTATTACTAGATTAAGGTTACTGTTCATGTGCTTGGGCACAATAACTTTAAAAAGCTACTGGAAACACAGTTTCAAAGGATTCTGCTCATCAGAGATGATACCCAATAAACAGTTTTCACAGATTCTAAATAATATCCTCAAGAGTATTACTCTGAAGAGTGCACAGTATATCAACTAAACTGAATGTGTGCTAGTGAATATTATGCCCATCTAGCTCTAAAGGGTCTTTTATAAGACCTTTTTTTTCTTAAGTCATAATTTTCTACTCACTGAAGCAGGAGTAGCAGTTAGTTTCTCTCTTTCAGTTGAAAACTGTTTACAGTAACACGCCAATCATTTACTTTTATATAATCAAACTAGAAGCCCGGTGCATGAAATTCGTGCACAGGGTGTGTGTCCCTCAGCCCAGCCTGCACCCTCTCCAATCTGGGACCCCTTCAGGGATGTCCAACTGCCCGTTTAGGCCCGATCCCTGTAGGAGGATTGGGCCTAAAAGGGCAGTTGGACATTTCTCTCATAATCTAGGACTGTTGGCTCCCAAATGCTCACCTGCCTGCCTTCCTGATTGTCTCTAACTGCTTCTGTCTGCCAAACTGATCACCCCCTAACCTCTCCCCTGCCAGCCTGATTGATGCCTAACTGCCCTCCCCTGCAGACCTGATCATCCCTAACTACCCTTCCCTTTAGGCCTGGTCTCCCCACAACTGCCCTCCCCTGCAGGCCTGGTCTCTCCCCACCCCCACCCCCAACTGCTCTCCCCTGCAGGCCTGGGTCCCCCCCACAACTGCCCTTCCCTGCAGACCCAGTAACCCCCAACTTCCCTCCTCTGCTGGCCTGATCACCCCCAATTGCCCTCCCTTGCAGGCTTGGACCCTTCCAACTGCCCTCCTCTGCTGGCCATCTTGTGTCCACATGGAGACAGCCACCTTTGACCACATAGGGGCAGCCATCTTGTGTGTTGGAGTGATGGCCAATTTGCATGTTATTCTTTTATTAGATAGGATATGACTACATTTGGCATCCATCCCGCTCTCTGCCCTCACCCTCTCACTCCTGAGTTATGGTTTGAGAATGTGGGACTGCACACATAGCTCCTCTGTACAGATGTTTATCTAAGTTCCACACTTTAGATTGAGAGCAACTAAAGGAAAGGAACAGATTCAATCATATGAAAAAAGAACAAAGGCCAACCATGTCCTGACCATAAAAGACCATATCCAAAACCATGGAAAATGTGGTGGTAAATGTGGCAATCTCAACTGTACCTTAAATGAGAGGCGAGAATAAGAAAAGGTAAAAAGCAGAAACATAAGGAAGACAGTAAAATGTCGTGTCCTTTAAAATATATATATATATATATATTGATTGATTTTAAAGAGGAAGGCAGAGAGAGAGAAACATCAATTTGTTGTTCTACTTATTTATGCATTCATTGGTTGATAACTCTATGTGCCCAAACCAGGGATCAAACCTGCAATCTTGGCATATGGGCACAATACTCTAACCAACTTTTTTTGCCAGGGCGAAAAAGCTCTCTCTTTTTATCTGTCGTCTCCGGATCATTTTTGGCAGGAACCTGCTATGTGCAGAGGGAAAGACCCTTTTTTCAGCCTGAAATAGTCCTTTCCGGTTGGACTCCTGCTCAGTTTTGAAACACACTCATGCTACCTCTTCTGTGAGGTCCTCCCGGAGCCCTCCAGAGACTGTCTCTGTGATCCTATAGCACGCTGACACCACAGGTCAGGGCACTGCAGATGCTTTTTTGAAGGAGGTATCTGCTTATCTACCTGCTTTTTCTAAAGCACATGGATTATTCCTATTATAAACAAACATGTAATTTAGATGATTAACACTAAACACTAGGTTAGATCCTTCCCAATTAACATTGTTTTTAAAAAGACAGCACTTACCACACTGGTGCTGTGAACTGCCTCCGGCACAGCCTTCGCTGTTTCTTCCTGGTCTGAAGCATTCGCCGCAGAGGCATTTTCCTGGGCCAGCCCAGCCACTTGCCCACTACTCGTACTCTTCAGCTTATCTGCAATTCGCTGGTTTTCTTTCTCCAACTTGATTTTGGCTAACTGTGCTTCCAACATCCAATGTTCTTTTTCCTGCTCCAGTTTAGAAATCTTCTCCAAACTCTGCTGAACCTAGAAGGCAACAGAGAGTTTTGCACCTTAGAGGATAATGAGGGTAAAATTCAGCAGCCAAAAAAATACTTTACAGAATGTAAACCAAAACTACCCAAGTTTAAAAAAAAAAAAGCTTGACCCTGGAATAAGAAAAGATTCATTCAACAGAATACATAAAGCACATCCATAAATTAAGAAATTGATGCTCAGTGGATAGAGCCTGGAAACTGAAGGGTCACAAGTTCAAGTCCGGCACATGCCTGGATTGCAGGCTCAATCCCCAGCAGGCGTGCAGGAGGTAGCCAACCAATGATTCTCACCCATTATTGATGTTTCTATCTCTCTCTCCCTCTCCTTTCCTCTCTGAAATCAAAAAATATATTTTAAAAAACATAAAGTAAGAAATTGAACTAGAGTAAAATAAAAAATTTCCCTTCATCAGAAGGTATCATTAAGAAAGTAAAAAAGGAACCGGCACCGGTTTGGCTCAGTGGATAGAGCGTCGGCCTGCGGACTGAAAAGTCCCGGGTTCAATTCCGGTCAAGGGCATGTACCTTGGTTGTGGGCACATCCCCAGTAGGGGGTGTGCAAGAGGCAGCTGGTCGATGACTCTCTCTCATCGATGTTTCTAACTCTCTATCCCTCTCTCTTCCTCTCTGTGAAAAATCAATAAAATATATTTTTTTTAAAAAGAAAGAAAAAAAAGAAAGGAAAGCCAAAAGGTGGAAGAAGCAGGATGTATCCAATAGAGGACTAATATTCAGAACATATTAAAGCACTTCTACAAATCAATAAGAAAAAGACAGAAAACCCCACAGAGAAATAGGATGGGGGAAGGGAGGAACACCTGGATAGACATTGAATAAGACTGCAAACATAAAAAGAAGGCATTCAATCTAACGATCAAAGGAAAGCAATTTAAAACCACCCAAATGACTAGTAGTAAAATTTAAAGCAAAAAAAGGTGAAGGGATGAAGAAGCATAAATTGGTAGTTATAGAAGAGACTATTTTATAAAGTATATAATTATCTTATCACTATGCTGTCTGTACATTTGAAGGAAATACAGAATAATACTGAATGTAAACTGTAATGCGGGGGGGAGAAAATACAAAGATGGGCATGTTTGTGGAGTAACTGTAATAATCATAAGCATAGTGCTGAGAGAAGTGGAATTTGGGACAAACACTGAAAAACTGTTTGGCAAGATCTTTTAAAACTAAACATTATTGATGACCCAGTAATTTCCTTCTAGGTATAATATATACCCAATAGAAATGCATGCATGTTTACCAAAAGACATGTATAAGAATGTTCAAAGCAGCACTATGATAGCCAAATACTTGAAACTACTCATAAGCATTAAAAGAATAAATAATATATATTCACACAATATTCAAAAGCAATAAAAAAGGAGAGGTTACAATTATATATAATACAGATGAATACTATAAATATAATGTTGAATGAAAAAAGCCAGATCTGAAAGAGTATATATTACATACTCTTATGTAATAAAAAGTTCAGTATCAGACAACAAACCTAATCTATGAATGCAGGGTAACAGTTATCTTTGGGAGAGAGGAGAATAGCAACTGGAAAGGGGCATGAGGAAAGCTTCTGGGGTCCTAGTAACTTTTTTTTTTTTAATATATTTTTTATTGATTTTTTACAGAGAGGAAGGGAGAGAGATAGAGAGCTAGAAACATCGATGAGAGAGGAACATTGACCAGCTGCCTCTTGCACACCCCCTACCGGGGATGTGCCCGCAACCAAAGTGCATGCCCTTGGCCGGAATCGAACCCGGGACCTTTCAGTCCACAGACTGACGCTCTACCACTGAGCCAAACCAGTTTTGGCCCTAGTAACTTTTTTAAGGTATACCTTACAATAAATAAATATTTTTAAATGTTTATCTAGGTTCTGGTTACATTAATTCATTGTGTATATATTAATAATTTGTATACTTTTCTTTAAGTGTATTATACTTTAATCATAAGTTTAAAAAGTTAATTCTCAAGGCAAATAAAAATTTGAGAATTACATCAAATAAAATCTTACAATGAATTCCAAATGCTTTACCAACTATCATGATTGAGCAATCACCATGTACCAGCACTATTCATGGTACTTTCCTCCCTTTATCCCACTGAGGCCTCCTGACAGTCCTACAGTTTTCATTTCTCCAAGAGAACTAAAGCTCCCAACAGCTACACCACCTGCTGAGCAGGCAAATGGCAGAGCCAGGATTTGGGACCCCATCTGTCTTGCTCACAAGTCTGATTATTTTCACTACATTACACTGCCTCCCATTGGTTCATCCTTACAAGACCCTGAAAGGTAGATATTGTCCTCACTTTAGAGAGGCAGGAAGTGAGACCCAAAGTGTTTATCAGAGTAGCCTGCAGTTGGTCAGTGGCTGAGTGGGAAAAGCAATAGTTTTGAAGTCACACAATTCTGTCCCTTAGTAGCTACTTTTGGTAAAAGCTGCTTCATTTCTTTGAGCCTTACTTTCTACACATAAAATCTAAAATCAATTCTTTAGGTATTCCACATTTTACTAGTTGTCTCAGGAATTGTTTTTCAGGAATCATTCTGTGCATGAAATTTTTAGCATACAAATATAGAAAAGATAAGTGATATGTGTCCTATGAAAATAAGGTGAGCATAGATAAAATATTGCTGCAGATGAATTTGTGTTGTCTTTAAAATAAACATTTGCAAAACTCAAAGCAAGCCAGTGTTAAAGCGAATAAATCTCTGACAAAAGTTAAACTGCTGTCAGTTTGTACCAACTTGTACAAAGGTAATATCTCCTACTTCATCTGCCTCCAATTCGATCAAACAATTGAATATTAAAATTTTTTCATTCCTGCTCATGTAAGAAATAAAACAACTCACTGAGTCTCTAGCCCCTCCCTCCTTTGCCTTGTTATTTCAGACATTTAAATCTAGTACCGAAAGAAAGAATTATCATGGCCAAAGTGTGCTGATACTAGTTTACTGGCAATTATAACACCGAATGAATCAAGATGACTTTAAATATAAAATACAAAGAAATGTTTTTCAATGCATTATGCTTATGGTGCTTTTTAGCATGTGTTAAACAGTTAACTTCACATGTTTACTTTATCGCCTTTTAAATCACCCTGTGTATGTTTAAAACCTTTCCTAAGGGATTTAACATTTCTGCTCTTTAACAAGTACCATGATGTTGCAGGTGCCATACCTGTTGTGCAAGGCCTTCTCGGCTTTCCGTAGAGCTGAGAAGGACCCGGCGGTTCGCCAGTGCTTCTTCATAAGGCACAGACTCCGAGAGGGGCTATGGGAAAAGCATCATGAAAATGAAAGAAAAAGATCATATTAGCTTCATGATCCGACATTTACAAATTAGAATGCTAAATGGGGTTTGATAATAAACTCAGATATATGCCAAGATAGACTATTTTCTTTAATACATGTGAAAAGAAACCTCTTTTTTTAAAAAGATAAATAATGAAGGTAAATATACCAGTTACAAACTACTATCAAAAAATCGGTCTGGCTCAGTGGATAGAGCAGCCTGCAGACTGAGGGGTCCCAGGTTCGATTCCGGTCAAGGACATGTACCTTGGTTGTGGACACAACCCCAGTGTGGGGTGTGCAGGAGGCAGCTGATCGATGTTTCTAACTCTCTATCTCTCTCCCTTCCTCTCTATAAAAAATCAATAAAATACATATTTTTAAAAATTATTATCCTGCACCAAAATAGAAAGATAAAGGAACAGGAGAGGCAATCTAGAAATAAACAAAAGCATATATAAAAATATATTATGTGACAAATGTTTCATTTTTAAGTCAATGATGAAAGGGTACTCGAAATAAATGGTACAAGAACAACCAGCTAATAATTTAGAAAAATAAGTAGTTAGATTGTATATACTCCTCATATCAAAATAAATGAACTCAAGATGGATTGGAAAGCTCAACCTAAAAATTTAGACCACAAAAATACTGGGGAAAAATATAGGTGACCATCTCAACTTTAAGAAATACCCTGAGTTTCCAAGATTCCCCTAACTGAGAACACCATGGTTAAGAAAAAGGATGGTTTGATGACATAAAAATTAAAACTTCTATTTAGAAAAATTAGTACAGCAAATGGAGGGGAAATATTTATAATATAAATAAGAGATGAAAATCCTTAATATAGTGAGCTTTCTACCCTAATTAGGAACATTTATTTAAAAACAGATAAATAATTTGGACAGGGAACTGATAGCATAAATGTTCATAAATATTTATAAAATTTCATTAATATTTATGAAAGAATGTTCCACTTCAATAATAAGCAAAGAAATGCAAATTAAAATAACAATAAGAAATATCTTCTCTGAGGTTGACAAGTTATTAAATTTGTTAGTTAAATTTACACTCCTGCCAAAATCGGTTTGGCTCAGTGGTAGAGCGTTGGTCTGTGGACTGAAAGGTCCCAGGTTCGATTCTGGTCAAGAGCATATACATTGGTTGCGGGCACATCCCCTGGGGGGGGTGTGCAGGAGGTAGCTGGTCGATGTTTCTCTCTCATCGACGTTTCTAGCTCTCTATCCCTCTCCCTTCCTCTCTGTAAAAAATCAATAAAATACATTTAAATTTACACTCCTATTAATGATCAACTATAAATCGATAATCTCCCTAAAGTGTCAAACTATGAAAATGTGTCAAAACATGAAATATTCATAGACTTTGAGCCAACAATTCCTTTTTTAGGAATTAATCTTAAAGGTATAACTAAAACAATTAGACAAATATATTAAGATAGGTAGCCATATACATTGTTAAAAGTGTGTTTGTCTGTATGTACATGTGAGCGTGTATATATACACACATTAAAATTTTTTTGGATACAGATATACTCTAGCAAAGTTAAAAGAAGCTAGCTTTGGATGATAGGATTTGGGGTGGCCATAATTGTCTTCATTTACAGCTCTATCTTCTGATTTCTTTTTGCAATGATTGTATATTCTTATTAGATTCAGATAAAAATTGTAAATGTATTCCAACTATTTTTCTGTTTCTACAAGTTTAAGATTTCCTGAAGTTTGACACTGGCTGCCTCACCCTAAACAGTCTACCAGGTAATGGAGACATGACTCCAACATGGCCTCTGCATATGTCACATATTAGGTTTGGGTGTCTATTATGTCCTCCTCCTCAAATACCCACAACACTCACCAAATATCTATGCCTCAAAATTGTGTAAAATTAAACACTGTAGTATGAGTTGCAGAAAAACTCTTGCCATTCTCTGGAATTAATCCTGATGTTTCCTCTGATTTAAATGTTAGAAGTTCACAAACCTTTCTCAAAACCTTCATGTAAGCAGCAGCTTTTTTCTTGTACTGTAGCATGCATTCGGCGGAAAGAGGACTAATGAATCCACTCGCTACCTTAGGCCCATAGCTCAGTGAAGCAGTGAAATAGTCCACATTATTGCTGAAGAATGATGCAATCTAAAAGAAGTGCAACAAGAAAATAGATTTTGTTTTCAAAAAATATATATCTATATCTCTATCTATCTATCTATCTATCTATCTATCTATCTATCTATCTATCTATCTATCTATCTATATAAAAAGCCAGAGACCAGAACACTGTAACGACCAGAAGGACCTGTCGCTATGACACCCATTGCCGCCAGTGAACCAGTGGGATCAGGGGTTGGAGTCGGCTGGCCCACTGCCCACAGCCCCTCCCCACAACAAGCCCCACCCCTAATCGGCCCCCTCACTCTAATTGGAGGCGGGGCCCACTGGCCAATCACCCACATCCCCTCCCCTCAACCGGCCTGGCCCTGATTGGCCTATCAAAGTGGGGCAGAGCAAGGCCAGTTGGCCCACCTCCTGCTCTCTCCGCCTCACAACAGGCCCACCCCAATCTTTCCATTGGGGCTGAGCCAGCTGGACCCTACCCATGCACAATTCATGCACTAGGCCTCTAGTCTAATATATATATCTCCATCCTATTATATATATATCCATCCTATATAATAAAGATGTAATATGCAAATGGTTGTTATGCCGTGAAGCCTAATGAGTGGATCATGGATCAAAAGAAGGGTGGGACAGCGAGCTACAAGCTAGCGCCGGAGGGGGCAGGGCAGCAAGCTATGAGAGGGAGTGGGGGAGAGCTACACAAAGGCAGGGCAGCGGGCAGAGAGCTACTGGAGGGTGGCAGCAAGCTACTGGTGCACAGATTCATGCGCAGGGCATATACATATATATGTGTATATATATTAGCTTTCCAAGCAAAGTTAAAGACACTGAGAATGAAAATGAAATTTCAGTACCTGCCCAAAAGCCCACATTTTTTATTTGAGAATGCCTAGGCAATGATTTATATTAAAAAGACAATATCAGTATAAATATTGAGACTATCCTTCTGACAGGTCTTAATCTAGATAACTGTTATTCTTCCTAAAAACCAAAACTGATTCTGATTTATTCAGACTATTCCTAGATGATGTTCATGAGCTCTGGATCTCATTAATTCTGCCACTGCTCTCAAAAATAGACATATTTGAATTTATACATTCCCTTTGAATTTTAACTTTAAACATTTCATATTACAACATAATTTAAGACATAGGCATCTTAAATATGCACTCTACTTAAATTCAATTCTGTAAATCTCAATCTATATATCACAAATATAATAGAAAAGACTGAAAATTAAGTAGATCCTTGTTATTTACTGATTTAACCTTTATTAAATCTATATAAGAAGTCACAAAAATCTGTAACTTTGTTGGGCCATAATTTTGAATCTATAGTGCTACATGAAATTCTAGTATAAATAAAAATGTCTAAAGAAGTTCTTAGCTAGAAAATTTATTCCATTTTGATAAGGAAAAGTAACTTATGAAACAGAGTATTCTACACTGACAAAAACTGCTCAAAAAGTAGGCAATTAGTAATGATTTAAAAGATTATAATTTTCATTAATAATTTACCTTGTCAAATGAAATTCTCTATTAGACATTATTCAGAAAATGAGTATATAAAACTTTTGAGCTATATATTTCTTATGCATGACATAGATAATAATATACCCAGTGTTTGCATTTAGGTCATGGTAGTATACAGTGAGGTTTATTTACTCTTTCCTATTCTTATGTCTATATTTTCCAAGTGTTCTTTTAAAAGCATCTTATATTTTTTAATTGGGTTTTTAAATAACAAACAAAATTTATTTTAATCAAGTCACATTAGCTACAAATTAAGCTACCACAGACTAACATTAGTTCAGGTACTTATTATAGTTAAAAAACATTTATAAAAAATTCAGACTGAGCCAAAACCGGTTTAGCTCAGTGGTCTGCAGACTGAAAGGTCCCAAGTTCGATTCCAGTCAAGGGCATGTACACTGGTTGCAGGCACATCCCCGGTAGGGGTTGTGCAGAAGGCAACTGATGGATGTTTCTCTCTCATTGATGTTTCTAGCTTTCTATCCCTCTCTCTTCCTCTCTGTAAAAAAATCAATAAAATATATATATTTTTTAAAAATGCAGACTGAAAATCAAATACCTTTTTTGAGACAAAATTTTAAAGTTTTAGGCAAGTCAAATCTAAAATAAGCTATGAGTATAGAGGTATTTAATATTTCAAAGTTCTCAATAAAAAAAAAAAGTGGCAAATGCAGGGACCCTGTAAAATGCCAATATTCTCTTTTTCTGGAATTTGCCTTAATTGAATCAAAGTTAGAATTATCCTCAGAAAGCTTCCAGCATGCTTGTAGATAAAAGTATTAAAGCTGAGGCAGTGGATATGGTTTTCTGTCTAAGGAATCCTATAGGCACAGATTTATGAATTGACAGAACCTAAAGAAAACACCTTTTAATTAGGGCTCAAACTATAGCAAACCTGCACAAAGACAAGTCTGAGTTTGGGAAAAATAATACTGAAGATCTGACATAAACTATGGTCATTTCTGATTAACTTAAATCACTGGAAAAATTTGTTTCTATTATGGTCAACCTGTCAGAAAAATAATGGTATATAAATATAGACATTAGCATTTCCTTGAGAAATTATGTTGTCTGTTGAAACAAATGGGCTAAGGTCGTCTTGAACTCAATCCTTTCAGCTTCATGCTAGCACACATGGGGAATTCTCATAGAAATCCTAATCTTTAAAGGCATGCATTCTTAGAATGCGACTTCTGCTAAAACTAGGTATCCGATAGGATGAGTTTTTAAGAATCTGCACGTTGGCCATCCTATATAAGCCTAATATGCAAATCAACCGAGCAATGGAACGGTGGCAGACACTTGATGGAGAGCTGCCTCAGGCCAACCAAGGCAGGTGCCAGTGGGGCCCCCCCATCGCCCCTCCAGAAGCCCCACATATTGGCCCTGATCGCCAGCCAGGCCCAGGAACCCTATCTGTGCATGAATTTTGTGCACAGGGCCTAGTTTTATAATAACACTTAAGTACTTAATGATCCAAATGATCATTATCCAGTATTAAGAGTTCAATGAAAAGACATATGTTAAAGGCACTTTAAAAGTACTTGTTAAGGTATAAAACCACAGAGGTAGCTTTACCACAAGTATTATTAAAATACAAACAAAAAATTAGAGGGGGCCGGATCCAGTTTGGCTCTGTGGATAGAGTGTCGGCCTGCAGACTGAAGGTTCGATTCCAGTCAAGGGCATGTACCTTGGTTGTGGGCACATCCTCAGTAGGGGGTGTGCAAAAGGCAGCTGATTGATGATTCTCTCTCATCGATGTTTTTTAACTCTCTATCCATCTCTCTTTCTCTCTGTAAAAAATCAATAAAATATATATTTTTTTAAATTAGAGGGGGGAAAAAATACCAATTTTTTTCTCTTTTTATGTACTCCAATTTTTAAATATACCCAACGGTCTTTCTATATTGAGACCATCTTCAATCTTTAAATGACCAAATAACTCATTAAAACATAAAGTGTGAGTGATCTCCTTAGTCATGACAAATCCTTAACAATAATTACCACATTGGTTTAAGTACTGGGTAGGGAGGAGGGAAAGGGAGATAACTTTATTTTTACAAAAAGCCTGAGAGTCCAAAATTCTTTCACAGATGCATTTTCCTATGTCACTGAAGGAAGGGGGGGGAAAAAAGCATATTTAAATATAGAATTTAATGTCAATATAAACAGAGACATTATGCTAAGCGAAATAAGCCAGTCGGAGAAAGATAAATATCACATGATCTCATTCGTATGTGGAATATAATGATCAACATAATTTGATGAACAAGAATAGATCCAGAGACAAATAGTAAGGGGTGAGGGGAGAGGTTAGAGAGCAAGCAAAGGACATGTATACATGCATATTAGCATAACCAATGGACACAAACACTGGGGTGGTGGGGGCTTGCCCGGGGTGGGAATGGCTGTGGGGAGTAGGGGGGTGTCAATTGGAAAAAAAGAGACATATGTAAAACTTTAGACAATAATACACACACACACACACACACACACACACACACAGAGAAAAATTACCTTTCCTGCTCCATTTGTTAATGCCACTACTGATGACAGGATGCAGTCATTCGTTGTTATGAGCTTCTGTGTTGCTGTTGGAAGTTCATGCTCTATTGTTGCTTTTTGACTATAATGTTTGGAGATATCTAAAAAGCAGTTGAATGAAAATCCATTACTACCTTGTACAAGTGGCATATACTGGTAGATAACTAATCTCTTACCTTCTCATATCTATTCTTACAAATTTACTCAAAAATGGTCCTAAATATTAAGATTGTGCTGAATATCAATTAGATCACAAATCCTCGTGGAAAGAATAGAGAGAAGTGAAGGTCCCTTAATACCATCCTGACATCTCTATTACAGCCACCAGCTTGTATGTCTACGTCCCTTATTTGGATGTTAGCCCTTATTCTAGCGTTGGGTAAATGACCCTGACTAACATTTAACCTGATTAAAAACCCTGATTTGATAGTCCAATAAGCATAAATGAGAATTTATCTTATATTTATATAGCAAACATGAGCCTTGAAGAGAACAACTAACAGAGGCACAATAATGTCCCACAATCCTTACTGGACCTTCACTAGTTTGCTAGTACACACTTAAGCAATGAAAAATGTTTGCACAGACAAAGGATTGATACTCCAGTGCCTGGCTTCACGTGCTGCCTCTTCCAGTCCAAGAATATTATAGGAAGGTCTGTGGTTAGAAAAGTATAAGAGAGAGGCTTAAATATAAATATGTTAAGACAAACTACAGTAGGTGAAACTAGCCAAATATCTAAAGCTTGGAGTTTTCTGGGTCTCTGAGAAATAGAATAATTTTGTCTTGGAAGTAAGGGAAAATGGGAGAATTATTAAGACAACAATGGTTTAAAAAGAAGGGTAATTATATTTTTAAATAATAAAGTGTTTACTATAAGCCTTCTTTGAATTTTTTTTAGAATACTTTCATTATACAGCATTATCATTATCAACAAAGCTAAAAATAAATAACACAATATGAAAATTAAATTTTATAGCAGGTGTGTAATCAGAGACTTTAATTTACTGAGAATCAGAAATTTAGTTGATTTCAATATATTTTATTGATTTTTTACAGAGAGGAAGAGAGAGGAATAGAGAGTTAGAAACATCAATGAGAGAGAATCATCGATCAGTTGCCTCTTGCACACCCTCAAGGGCATGTGCCTGCAACCAAGGTACATGCCCTTGACCGGAATCGAACCCGGGACCTTTCAGTCTGCAGTCCGATGCTCTATCCACTGAGCCAAATCGGTTTTGGCTGATTTCAGACAGTAGATAATTAAGAGGAAACAAGAAAGAAATGGTATTTGAGGTTTAACCTGATATAATCATGATAGTTTAATATAAATACCGCAAATTTTATGAATATTATTTTTACTAAAATTTTAAAACTAGGGTATTATTTTATTTATATATTTTATATACATATATACACATATAAACTTTTAATTTAATATAATTTAAATTTATAGAAAAGTTACAGCCAGTTTTCCCTATTGTTAACATATTACATTACTATAATATAGATGTCACAGCAAAGGAATCAACTAACTAGTACATTACCATTATGTTTAATATATTCTTTAAAATAAATGGTTATTCTCTATATATTCAGAAGAGTGAATAAAAATTCTACTGAAATGCTGAACATTTTTTTTGTATACTGAACTTGCTAACCCCTAACATAGACATTTTCTTTCTATACATCACAGAAAGTTTTATTTAATATTTTACAGGAAGTGTACAATGCTATAATACAACTTGGTTGGTAGGCAATCTTAGTTGATTGGTAGGTGATTGAGACACTTATGAAAGACATACAATACTAAAAACACTTCTATTTGGATCAGTGCTGTTAGTTTGATAATAATTCTCCCAATCCAATTGTTTATTCTTTATTCAGTCCAAATATTTTAAATATTTAGGGTGTTCTTTGACATTAAACTTTAACTCCAAAAAGAACAAAAAAAAATCAGAGATTTTTCTTTTATGTTTCCTATGAGTCTACTCACTTTAGACTTGAGACTAAACATCAACAATTCTCACTTCAAATGTCCCTTGTAAAAGTATCAATTCACTCCTATTTTAAATCCATGTAGGATACGCAGTTTTTATAAATCTCTCTCTCTCTTTTTACAGAGACCAGTCTGCCTGCCTGCTTGCCTGCCTGCCTGCCTGCCTTCCAACTCAGGGCAGAGCAGGAAGGGAAGAGATTTGAACAAGAATCTCTTAAACACAAAGCTTCTTCTGTTAATGCCAGTTAATGCTCACTGTGAGGTTTCATGGGAGATACACAACAGTCCTCCAAGTGAGGTAAAGAGATTTGAAGTGTAAACCTAGCAAGAGGACGCCAGAATCTTGCCAACCATCCTTCATGTTTCCCAATATTCTCTCTATATATCACATTCATTTTCAAGGACAGAAATAAGTGGAGGCACAAAGGGAGGCACAAAGGGGAAACCCAGATCTTCCCACAATCTCCATCAGCTCATGCCAAAAAATGACAGCAACATTCTTGGATTCGGACCATTCAGCATCTTCTCAATTTTATATATGAGCAAAAGCATCTTTAGAAAACCTCAGATTTTATAGATTAATTAAAATTCAAATAGAATCATGTAAATGAAGCTTTAAGACCCCTCTCACTGGAGAGCTACCCTCCACTGCACTAGCCTCTCCTTTACAGGAATGTTGGAGGAAACCACTAGCAGGAAAAAGTCATAGTATCAGCATAGGAAAATTTAGAAAACAAAACCCCAAAAACTTCGAGCCACTGAGCCACTTGTGGTTTCAGTGGCCTAATTCTAGGTTAAGTAAAATTCTAGATTACAGGACTACAGCTAAGTCTGAGCTTCCCAAACCAAACACTGCACAGAAAAAAAAGGAACCAGACCCTTAGGTTTTCTATAAACCACACTAGGTTCTGCAGGGTTGGGATGACTACTGACACCTGCCACCAAGACTGTCTATTCAAGCTGTGGTTCCTGCAACCAGGATTCATCCAACCAGAAGTTGGATAGACTTTTAAAGTTCCTTAGAATTGAAGACAAGCCACAGGAAGGACCATTCTCCAGACTGAATGGTAAGATGGTGCTAGATAATACGGCTGAGACTAAGAATGATTCCCAGTGCCCTATGTAATATATCAATCTACAGAAAAGCCCCCACAATACCCATCTTATGCATAATTTTAAGTTTTAAAAAATTATTTCTGTGACACTAGTAATTGGTCACTAACCGTTAACTAAACAGCCCAATGAATAATCTAAGTACCTGAGCCTTTTCCAATAGTCCTTAATAATTACTCTGGCCCTCTCCTCCTTTCCCTGCCCCAACAGTCTTCAAAATGAACAGAAAAGAGGAGGAAACCTCGTAGCCACACAGAACTATAGATTTAAAACTGTCAGCACTCTGAATCACATGCTAAGAAGCATGTGAAATGCTTTTCAGCACACTCTAGTCTCAGAAGCACACAAGCAAGTTTTGAAAAGTGATCAAAGCTTAAAAACAGACCTTCATTTCTTAAGGCTGTGCTGAACAAAATAGGACTTAAAATGGACACTTGACACATAAAAATGCACAGATTGGCGGAAGGTCAGTGCATTCTTTCTGGGAACTTTAAACCTTGGTTTCCTCAATTCCTTTCATGCTTGGGCTCTAACAAGTGCAATGCATTTTGCTTAATATCCTCTGAACTGCATGTCTGGTTTAATGCAATTCACACACCTGTCTTAAGTCAGTGTAATGTATTTTCGGCTAAAGTACTGTGCACAAGGGTTTCTCTTTAGCACTTTGTTTACCTTCAGAAACGAAGCAGATGGAAAAAGCAGAAGACAGTGAACTATGCACTTCAATGTAAGCCAAATGCTACTAAAGCCTCTATCTGGGGTCTATTAACCTTCACAGTATTTGTTTAATCTCATTCAGGCAGACCTGAGAAAGTGGGATGAAGGTCTTACGTTTATTTGTGCTCCTTTTCAACCTCACCTTTCATGACATCATGAAATCCATCCAGAGCAGCACCAACGTTTGTTAAGACGGAACTGAAGTTTGCCCGCAGGAGTCCATCTGGCTCCGTACCTAGGAAACCAAAGTCACAGACCTAAGAATTTTCTCAGAAGACTTAGCCTGAAAAATTGACAGCCCACTATCTCCCCCTACTTTTGGGAAGACAGAGAATGAAGACTGTTTGTGATATGTTGAGAGTAATGACTCTTAAAATCATTGCAGACAAATTCAGATATAACGGCAATAAACATAAAGACATATCTAACTGATCTGCATTCCCCATGTCCACAAATATTTTCAATGGTTAATAATCAAAATTAAATTACTAAGCAGGATTATATCTTTCATGATTCTTCTGGAAAAGAAGGTCTTTGTGAATTTTCACTTCGTTACTCTATAACACATTTCTCATTTTATTCTTTCCCTACACATTTTTTAAAAAATATGTTGTTATTGATTTTTAGAGAAAAGAAAAGATCTGAATAGACAAGTCTCCAAAGAATATGTGCAAGTGGTCAATAAGGGCATGGAAAGATGCTTAACATCATTTGAAACCACAGAAATGCGAATCAAAACTGCAATAAGATACCATTTTAAAAAGTCAAATAATACTCGATGACTAAAATAAAGTCAAATAATAACAAAAATTTTAAGGATATGGAGCAATCAGAGAATCTGTAGAAATTATACATTGTTGGTGGGAAGATAAATGGTGCAGCTACCTTAGAAAAGAGTCTGGCAATTCCTCCAGCAGTTAAACACAGAGTTACCATATGACCCAATTTCACTCCCAGGTATAATATACCCAAGAGAAGTGAAAAGATATGTCCACTCAAAAACTTGTTCACAATTGTCTATAGCAGTGGTTCTCACCTTCCTAATGCTGTGACCCTTTAATACAGATCTTCATGTTGTGGTGACCCCAACCATAAAATTATTTTCATTGCTACTTCATAACTGTAATTTTGCTACTGTTATGAATCATGATGTAAATATGTGATATGCATATTTACATATCTTAGGCGACCCTGTAAAAGGGTTGTTCGACCCCAAAGGGGTCGTGACCCACAGATTGAGAACTGCTGATCTATATAGCATCATTACCAATAAGAGCCAAAAGGTAAAAACAAAGCAAATTCCATGGACTTATAGATAAATCAATAAAATGTGGTATAGTCATATAACAAAATGTTATTCTCCAATAAAAAAAAAATGAAAGACCAATAAATACTCAATGTGGATTAATCTTGAAGAAATTACGTTATGTAATTCGAAAGAAAGCAGTCAAGATGATCACATGTAGCCGAAACCGGTTTGGCTCAATGGATAGAGCGTCGGCTTGGGGACTGAAAGGTCCTGGGTTCGATTCCGGTCAAGGGCATGTACCTTGGTTGCGGGCATATCCCCAGTAGGGAGTGTGCAAGAGGCAGCTGATCGATGACTCTCTCTCATCGATGTTTCTTACTCTCTATCTCTCTTCCTCTCTGTACAAAATCAATAAAATATATTTTTTTAAAAAAAGATAATCACATATAGTTCTATTTATATAAAATGTTTGGAATAGGTAATTCAAAAGACAGAAAGTAGATTAGTTATTGCTTAGCAATGAGGAGGGGCAGAAGGGGAAGTAAAGAGGTAAAGCTAAAGTGTATAGGGTTTCTTCTTAGGGCAATGAAAATATAGATTGTAGTGATGGTGTATGTATCTGTGAATATACTATAAGCCAATGAACTGTACACTTTAAAGAAATAAGTTGTATGGTACATTAATTATATCACATTAAAGCTGTCACCAAAAAACAACAACAAATCACAGTACCAGGAAGATCACAGCATTTTTTAAAAAACATCATTTAAACTGAGATCCATTCAATTACCTAAAAATACATTTTTGAAATTAGAACAAAGGGAAACAAATGGCATTTTTACTACCAAACCCCCTATGCTACTTTTTGGAAAGTTGTTACAAATTCTTTTGTTTTATCCGTCTCCATTTTTAAAAGAAGGAAAGGAAGGGAATTAATATGAATGCATATCTTCAATTACATCTTTAATTTAACTTAATAATCACTTTTTTAATCACCATTTTATAAATGGGAAAACAGGTACAGGAAAGTAAGGTGATTTCCCCCAACTTCATAAATGTGTAAGGGGCTGGAGGACTTGAATTTGAGTTTTTCTGATTCCAGATCTTATGCTTGGCTCTCTCACCCCAGCTCACATCTGGCTCATATCTCCCTCCTCTGGCTTCTTGTTCTCTAAGTTCTTCAAGTTGAACCATGAGTGACAAACATACTCACTTGGCAAGGCGAGAAGGCTGACATAAGTCTGCAGCTTCTCAAACACAGCTGTCATCTTTTTCATGTCCTGAGACAGCTCTAGATTCCTGGCTCTTAACGCAGATGTACAAAGGGAAGATTCACATTCTTCTTCTAAACTAGGAATGGGCAGATATTTTAAAGTGAGCATCCTGAACATTTTCAATTAGCTATAAGAAACCATCTACATTCTCAAACAACTCTACCCAGAGACACTTTTTTTTTTAATTATCTCGCCGAAACCAGTTTGGCTCAGTGGATAGAGCATCAGTCTGCACACTGAAAGGTTCCAGGTTCGATTCCGGTCAAGGGCATGTATACATTGGTTGCAGGCACATCCCCTGTAGGGGGTGTGCAAGAGGCAGCTAGTCGATGTTACTCTCTCATCAATGTTTCTAGCTCTCTATCCCTCTCCCTTCCTCTCTGTAAAAAAATCAATAAAATATATTTAAACATTTTTTTATCTCATTTAAAAGGTTTCTTCTTTTTTTTTTTTTTAATCCTCACTCAAGGATGTGTTTTCATTGATTTTTAGAGAGAGAAAAATGAGTGTGAGAGAGAAACATCGATTGTTTGCCTCTCACATGCACTCCAACCAGGAATCAAACCCACAGCGTAAGTATGTATCCTGACTGGGAATCGAACCCAAACCTCTTGGTATATAGGACAATGCTCTGGCTGAGGTTTCATGTTTTATACCATGATATATATACCTGCTTGCTGCAAATGTCAATGGAATAACAGAGGACTAAATAGGAAAAAATAAAGGCATGTATCCATTATCTTTTCATCCTGAGAGCAGCATGAAAATGCTTCCCTTAAAAATATTTTCAGAACAATATTTCATGGAGTGAATTCCTATGGAGAATCAATCAAATATGAACTAGTAGAACTTTTTTAGTATACTAAATTACAAAAGCCATGCAGATTGGAATAAACAATCCATAGACTCAAATCTAAAAGTAAATGGTTAACATTCATAAACTACATTGTGTCATTTTCAAATTTATATGGTTACTGTGGAAAACTCAATTGTAAATTTTTAAAAATCCTTGTGGATTCCAGCCAATGTGGCTCGGTGGTTGAGCGTTTACACATGCACCAGATGTACTAGGAGGTCACTGGTTCAATTCCTCATCAAGGCACATACCTAGGTTGAGGGATCGATCCCCAGTATGGGGCATGCAGGAGGCAGCCAATGGATGTTTTTCTTTCATCAATGTTTCTATCTCTCTCTTTCCCTTTCTCTCTCTCTGAAATCAATAAAATGTTTGTTATTTTTTTTTAAAAGAATAAAATTCCTTGTGGACACAGTACTTTATAAAAAATGTTGCAGGTGATCAAGTAAAATGCTTTTTGCACAATTAGAGAAATTATTAGCACAGGAATGATCATCATAACACTTTTCTTGACCTTCCACTTTATTTATGGCAGACAGCTTCACTGAAAATTAAGCCCATTTACCACGAAAGAATATGTTATCTTGTCAAAGTGATATTTAAACAAATGACCAAAAATTGCCTAGAAACACAAATACCTGATGAGGGAGGACTAAGAGCATATGAGACAGAACATTCCAAGAACAGAAATCTTAGATCAAGAAATAACTTATCCACTCTTTCTAAAAATGTAATGGTGAAAAAATAATAGAAAATAAAAATGCATAACTGTTTCAAGTAGTAAGTGCCACTTTGCAATAGTTCTAAAACAGATTCTTCTTAAAAATAAGCCAAATCATAATGTTATTTAAATATCTAGAGTCAATTTTCAAAAACAAAATAATTACATTGAACCATAACATGTAAGGATATGAAAAGAAACTATACTTAATAATACTTTAACTCCCTGATTCCTAAAATTCTGTCATATGCACAAATCATAGAATTTAGTTACTGACATGCCTTAATAGGTTATAATTAGGTAATAAGATGGCTGTTATTTTTAATTATTTTAACAACAAAATTTTATATTTTTGAAAAGTTAAAACCTACTTACTACTTTTGTTTTATAAGAACTTACTATTATCAATTGTACATCTTCAAAATCTATAAGTAACTCATTTACATATTTTTAAACCTTATTCTACAATACATGTATGTTCTTCTTTTATGTCCTATTATTCTTTTTTAATATTTTTTTTATTGATTTCAGAGAGGAAGGGAAAGGGGGAGAGATAGAACATCAATGTTGAGAGAGAATCATTGATCAGCTGCCTCCTACATGCCCCCAACTGGAGATCAAGTCCACAACTCGGGCATGTGCCCTTGGCCAAAATCAAACCCAGGACCCTTTAGTCCACAGGTTGACGCTCTATCCACTGAGCCAAACCAGCCAGGGCTGTCCCATTATTCTTTGATTTTTTTTTTAAAGGTTAAATCTGAGATAAAAATATTTAGAAACAGAAGTCTTAGTAGTTTTAGGTCATAAGTATCAAAACTTTTAATCAGTATTATCAACTTTCCAGTTACATAAATTATTTTCTCTTGCCTTTCCAAAATATTTAAGGTGGGATAGTTAAGGTTACTAAATGACATATCCTTTAAGGGCTAGAGTAGATTAAGTTTTTAGTTTATAACTTAAATAAACTACTAATAAAAAGAAGAATATACAATTTCAAAGAAACCTAAAGACTACAAATCCAAATATAATTAACTACTGTAACCCCACCCCCCAGATATTTACTGTAAAAAAATAAGTACCCAAAACTGAAATAGTTTTTGCAATAAATGTGTCATTCACGATCACTGCAAATAAAAATTCACATAGCATTATGTAGTGAGAGTAGTAACCACAGTACAGAACAACAACAAAAATCCTAGCTGATGAACTGCAATTTCATTTTCTTAAATGTAAGTTTACACTGTACACGCCTCTTTTTCCCTGTTTCACAGAAGTCCAACTGGTTGTGGTACAGACAGGTCAGGCAGACACAAGAGGCACATGCTGCTATTTATTAACTCCAGTGCAGGTCAGGTGACACCTCACAATTCCCCAAGCTCCCCAGCCTCGAGGAATAAATACCTTTTTAACTGATAAGGAAGAATCTTCCTAAGAAAACATATGTAAGAGGTTAAATGCTCTGAGAAAGTTTTCAATTTCACAGTTGTCTCCTAGAAGAGAAAAACAATTTTGAGGTTAATATTAATAGTTATTTGAGAAAGAGGAGCTCCCACTTCCAGAAGTAAAACAAAGAAAATTACCAGGACAGTCACAGTATCTTCAGTAATACTTTCAAATAAATGAAGCATTCCTTCCTCAAGAGGGCGGACATAGGATGCATTTTCATGAAGGTATTGTGAGAACTAAGTAGAAAGGAAGGAACTGAGTTACATCACTGGAAACTAATGAATACCAACATATTTGTAAATAGACTTACTAACTTACAAGCCTAAAAACTTTTTTGGGGGGAAATTTTGCTTTTATACAGAGATGCTCCTTCCAACCGTCCCAGGTACTATCTCCAAGTCCCCATACCAATATAAAATGAAAACCAAGAAGAGGAATGACATAATTAACAACCAGGCAGCCCTCTTCCCTTAACTTCTCTCCATAGGGATCCTTGCTTTAAAAAAAAACTACTATATATATATATATATATATATATATATATATATATATGTATATATTTGAAAATCAAAACAGTGTGACAGATTTCTGTGTTATATACTTCATTTTTTCTTTTTCTTTTTTTAAATATATTTTATTGATTTTTTACAGAAAGGAAAGGATAGGGATAGAGGTAGAAACATCAACCAGCTGTCTCCTGCACACCCCCTACCAGGGATGTGCCCACAACCAATGTACATGTCCTTGACTGGAATCGAACCTGGGAACTTTCAATCCTCAGGCCGAGGATCTAGCCACTGAGCCAAACCGGTTTCAGCTATACTTCATTTTTTAACAAGTCTATTGAGTATAGCTTCTTTTACTTTTACTGTATATAATATTCAGGATTATAATTCCAATTATCAAAAAGATGATATAAAAACTTTTATAACTGTCACTGATACTTGAATATTTACAAAGGATTAATTCAGCAGGAAGAATAGATTAAGAGAAGATCCTACAAGCATTTAAATAATTTAGAAGCAAAAAGTAAATTTTCATTTATGAAATACTTCATTTACCAAAGTATTATATAATGGCTCAAATTTTGACTTCTCAGTATAAAAAGTCTCATTCTGCAGAAATGGAATTCAGTTGACCCTACCCCAAACTACTCAAACATATGGCCCAGGGAAATTCACTTAGTTATCTTTGGGCTTTGATCTTTAGCGCTATAAAAAAAAATTTTTTTTTAAATGAACTCTAAGCTTACAGGTGTAAACAAATACTTTAAGATTCTATAAACAAATGTAAACATTCTATTCATTTTTTAGCAAATGGTTTTTTAATCTCTTTCAATATTTCAGACTTACTAGAAAATCACATCATATCATGGGTCAAAGCATAAAAGGGAAAATATTGAGAATATATATATATTTTTCAAAGTAATGAAATGTATCAGACAAAATCCCAATAATGGATAAAGAATCAGGATTGAGTAGAAAACATTTTTGATATTACAGGAACTATAAAAATACATATAATTACACTGAAATGTTGCAGTATTGTTTTCCAGGTCTTCTGACAGCTTTTTCCCACAGTGATATTAAAGACCCTTTCAAAGACCCAAGTTTTAATTTTTATAAACTTCAAAAGACTTGTGGAGTCACACCAAAACTGATGAAAGCCAAGTACCTACTAAAGCTTCTTATATGTAAGGCATAATAATAATAATGTTGATGGGACCCAACCTTTATTAAGTGCCGTTCTTAGTGCTTTGCATGTATTGTTTCATTTAATCTTCATATACACAGACGTACCTGTAAGGTAGGCACTCTTATCCCCCATGCTAAAGATGAGGACTGAAGCACAGAGAGGCTAAATAAATTGCCCAAGGGGAAAGACTTAGACCGGGACCCCAAAAGTCTGATTATAGTGGCCAAGCCTTTGCTATACTAATGTAAATGGCACGTGGGGGATCCGTGGACATAAGTACAATACAAACCATGGGAATACTGCGTGGGTGAGGCATCAGGTAAGTGGGGGAAATGGCATGACTCATTTCAGGCGGGCACTTAGCAAATGTTTATAGCAAGATCCCTCAACTTCTTTCCTGTGGGGACAGCCCTTAAGATGGCCTGAGGATCTCTGCCTCCTGCTGTTCATGGCTTTGTGTAGCACTATTGCAAAATGTCTCAGGGTTGGCCTCAGTGACAGTGTAATATGGCAGAAGTGATGGTATGTGAAGACATGCACACTCCCTATGCTTTCCTACTCCATGATTTTGTTCATGTCTCCCTCTTCTGGGGGCAAAAATGCCTATACCACTTTCCTCCTTCTATACAAATCATGCTCAGTTTTCAAAGTGCATTCAAATTGCCCAAGATTCATTCCCAGACAATACCACGGACAGCAATCTTCCCTCCTTAATGACCACATATTGCTTACTGGCCATAACTCTCACTCACACACTAAGGTCTTTTAACAACTCCTCTAGTATTTAACTTCTTAAGAATCTCCATGTTTGTCACACTTTATCTTGAAGGGGAAAGACTATGACCAACAGACTCTGCCTTCCATAGTACTTTGCTGATGCACAGAGTGGTATAAAAATAAATATTAAGTTTCCCTGCTTGTTCAGGGCAGACAAAAGATATCTTGAGTTAAGTTTACCTTCTGATTCAATGGAGATATAGTGTCAATGGCAGAATCCACAGGAAAAATCTGAATCCTCTGTTCTGTGTAGGTGTGGAAGTTCAGAAGAGCTGTCACAAGGTCTTGAACAAAAGCCAGGGCCTGCCCAGCAATGTCTCGCATCTTCAGCTTTAAAATGAAAAATCTATAGTTAAGTCAACTCTCAAATTATAATTCTCAAACTACTTTACTAGGTGTACCAATTAATAATGCGAATTGTGTAATCAAAGAAAAAATGATAATTTTAAAAGAAACATCAAAAGTACTGTATTCAAAATAATGTCCATCACTAGCTACACATTTCCCCATCTTTCAGGTAATTTGTGGATACTGTCCCAATAGAACTTTTCTTGTTTTGAGGCAAACCATCCAGAGACCCAACTTTCCACTTCTTCATATGTTCGGAAGTGCTACTCAGGAAGTGTGTGTGCCTTTGATTGGAACAAGTGATGATCTGAAGGAACAAAGTCTGGTGAATACAGCGGGTGGGTTAAGACTTCCCAGGTAAGATCTTTTAATGTGTCTTTAACAGGTTTTAAAGTGTGTGGTGCTGAGTCATCATGAAGCAAAATTACTTTGTTGTGTCTTCTGGCACATTCTGGTCGTTTCATGATCAAAGCATGGTTCAAATTGATTATTTGTTGTCGGGAGGGATCAGTCTTAACGTTGGTTTTAGAAGCTCCTAATACACTACACCTTCCTGATCTCACCAAATGAAGAGCATTGTCTTCTTTCCCACGCGATTTGGCCTTGCAGTCGATGTTGATGGTTGACTTGGATCAACCCATGATTTTGTGCATTTGGGATTCTCAAAATAAATCCACTTTTCATCACCAGTCACAATTCAATGCAAAAAAGACTTCCTTCTGTGCCATTGAAGCAACATTTTACTGATGACTTTTTGGTTTTCCATTTGTCTTTTGTTCAGTTGAACCCATTTTTCTTCCTTTAAAATCTTTCCCATTGCTTGTAAAAGTCAGAAATTGTTTGCTGAGCAACATTTAATCTTTCTGCAAGTTTTTTTTTTTTTTTAGTTTAACACGCATCTTCATCCAATAATGCTTGTAATTTTGGTCTTCAAACTTTTTCCGTTGATCTGGACAGTTTTTGTCTTTCACTTCATTTTTAAAGCGTTTAAACCAGCGTTCACAAGTATCTTGAGATGGAGCATGTTCACATAAGCTTCCCAAAGTATTCAGCAGCACTTTTCTTCAAAATAAAGTAATGAATTATAACTTCCTGAAAATGTTCTTTTTTTGGCATGAAATTTGACATTTTTTAAATGTAAAAATATCAATGATGTTAACACCTTCAGCAAATTTGACATCAAATCGCATATATATCACCATATGTATAACTCCATCTATTGAAAAAAAAAAATCTGCCTTATTAACCAGTACACCTGTATTAAGCCTGCTTTTGGAAAAAACATTTGAATGCTGGCATAATTATTCCTTAATTTAATTTATTTGCTCCTACTTAAATTTTAATAGTCCCATCTAAGTAAATGAGAAAGCCACCAATTTTGGCAAACACACCTCCTCCACTTTACCTGGACCAATTAATTGCAAGGTCTACCAACCTAGAAGAAAAGTATGGTTTATGAAATTAGAGCATCCCATAATTCAGTTCTAATGTTACACAAGAGAGACAGCAAAAAAAATCTGTTATAAATTCAATAAACAGCAAATTACACAATTTTTCAAAAACGTTCAGGAAAAGTAAAGCAAAAGTTAAACACAATAATTTAGTACACTAAACAGGGGCCCAAATAACTAATTCCTGCTTCTGAAAAGTGTGACATGCACATTACTGAAAAGAAAACATGTACTTCGTCTTTACCTGATGTCGCCTATTGTGGAGTGGAACATTCAGAGCATTATACTGACTATATTCTACAAAACAAAAATAAATATATATTAAATCTTTCATTTTACATTTACAGAAAAACAGCTTAATTGCAAAATAATAAATTATTGCAGCAAAATCAGCTTTACATAAGTATTAAAAAATGATCAAAGCCACAATCACAGTATAGGAAAATATGGAATATACACACAATCAGTTGTTTCTAAGATAAAGTAATACCTCTAATATTTTTTTACCTTTAGGATAAAAAATTTTTTAAATCCTATTTTTCTTTTTCTAAGAAATCTTTTTAAAATGTTAAAATCCTTTTAAAACACTATCAAGATTACTTAGGGCTCAGTTGATTTTTTTACCTTGGAATATGCTAAATATACACAATAAAAAAAAAAGTGAATTTCGGCTTTTTCCAAAAAGGCTGACTTTGAAGCAGTTATAAGACAATTTAAAATCTTCCTAAAAAAAAAAAAAAAAAACAGAGGAAAAGAAGAGAATAGAAAAAAATTAACAAAAAACTTAAAAATAAATAAATCTCCCTATGAAATAGGAGGGCTAAAGCTGATGAAAAGAACAAAAAGAAAGCAACCTCTGTCAGGCCAATGAAATTTATTGCCAAAAGATAAATTATTTTAATTAGCTACCACAGAGGGGTTCAAAGTTGCAAATAAAGATAAGCTGTACATAATACCTACTTGTATCATTAAAAGGTACTTTTTCATTGATGATTGATAAGGATTCCTCTAATCTACCTGACAAATCTTCATGAAGATTCTTTAACTGTAATTGACTGAAAGAAGAAAATACAGAACCACATTATCACCAATCAGACATTGATTCTCATTTGCTTATTACCTCAACAGCGGGTATCAGACTTCCAGAGAATTATGCCTGACATCTGAGATACTTTAGGTAGTAGAGAATTATTAAAAGATGGAAGATAAGAAAAATACTAAGCCTTAATTCTAAAGCCCCTGGGACTTTTGTTCAATGATGTTGAAGTTTAGAAGAATTTGTCATAGTTTCAGTATTTTATACAATTTTGAGTTTATTTCCCCAAGCATAGAGTAATCTTAGAGTCATTGCAACATCACAAATTTTCTCTTTATAACTCATAAATGTTTGCTCAAGTATTATGGTAAAGTTCTTTCTTATGTATTATATCATTTTTTTTTTTTTTACTTTGGCTCAAAATCTGATCACTTTTCTGATTTTGATTCAGTTATGAAGTATACACCTAAACCAAGCATGTAATGCTACCAAAGCAACTAAACTAAAAAAAACTCGCTTGACTGATTCTACTGAAACCTAAAATATTATGTCATTTATCAAATAAATGTTGGAGAATGCTCTTACAATCCGTTGATATATAATATTTCAAGATTTAGATATCGCCAACTTAGATCATATATCCTTTATTTTATTCAAAATGGACCATTAAAGTTCGGCACAGTGGTTATTACTCAGTTTTCCTACCTTGGACTCCCTTCAGTGTAGTCTGAAATGGAAAGTGTCCAGTCCTTAGTACAGGAGCCCAGAACGCTATCTGCTATGGCCCAAAACATCTGCAGGCTGGGGACTAAGCCTCTCTACCAAGAATGCATAAGGCCCCAGAGATAACAACTGAAAAGGACCCTGGAGATTACCTACTCCCGCCTCATTTCAAATGTGAGAAAATTAAGACACAGGAGCTGCTAAACCAAAACTCAGGTCTTCTGATTATTACTTCACGTTTCCACATACCAATCTTCTGTTCGTAGTCGACATTCCTTGGCTTCCTTTTCTAGAGCCTGAGATTTTACCTGAATTTTAGAAGAAAAAGAAAAGCAGAAGGGTAAGACTTCAGATGAGAGCACATCTAGGAGACAATAAAGGCAACTCTCACCTTGAGGACTGACTTTATGTTCTATAAAGTACACAAGCAATCTACAAAAGCCTGAACTATATCTTAAAGCGTTCTCACTTTAAGTTCAGGCTTACTTCTAGTTTGGCCTTGTCGTTCTGCAGTTTCTCAATGGTTTCCATGTACTTCCGTGTCAGGCCATCAACCACGGCTTGGTGCTGAGCCGTCTCCGTCTCCAGAGTGGCCAGCCGACTCCTGAGCTCTGCTTCCACATGCTTGTGCTGCTCATCGGCTTCAAAAAACTGAAAAGAAAAGATCATTTTCTCATCTCATAATATCCTAATAAATACAAACTCGAGGGCTGGCGCACGAAATTCATGCATGGGGGTGGAAGGGGCCCTCAGCCTGACCTGCACCCTCTTGCAATCCGGGATGCTGCATGCACCAGTGACCATACTTCCCGTACAGGTGAAAGGCATCTTGCTGTTGTATGGGCAGCTACATTTTTTTGCCCTGGTTATAAAAAGTAGTACATAACATGATCCTTCTGAGGCAGTAGAACCATTTTCCCCATCTTATGGGTGGAAAAACTGAAGCAGAGAGAAGTTAAGTAATTGTCTTTGTTTCACAATTATAAGTGTCAGAATCAGGGCTGACCACAAAATGTGCAAGCCAGAGTCCATTCATGTCATGACTGCATCATCTTGTTTTTTTCAGTGTTAGAGTAGTCTTACCAGGTTTTAATTTTTAAATCTAAGAGAATATTTCCAATATACAGGATAGAGTCCTTAGGCCTGGCTGGCAATCAGGGCCAATCTGTAGGGCAACCGGCGAGCAGAACGATCATGAGGCCCCCTCTGGTACCCGCCTTGGCTGGTGGCCTGGTGCTGTGCACTGGCCAGCCCAACCCCACCGCTACCACTGCCGCTGCCAGTAGCCTCCCTCTGCAGGAGGTGACCAACAGGCGATCAGGGGGCGGCAGCCTCTGCTTGCCTGCTGGTCCCACCCCCTCATCACCCTGCCACCACCACCAGTTGCCTCCTGGTGGTCAGTGCATGTCATAGCGACCAGTTGTTCCGCAGTTTGGTCGATTTGCATATTAGGGTTTTATTATATAGGATGAAGAGAAAAACAACAGCAGTGACTATTCATTGAACAACTTCCATCATATGGCTCCATATGCTCACTATGCAAAACCCGCACAAGCATGATCTCACACTGAATCCTCATAGTATGTCAGAGGTAGTGTTGTCCTTAGCCCTCCTTTATAGATGAGGAAATGAGTTTAAAGGAATTCTATAACTTGTCAAATGTCTCACAGCTAAAATGTGGTAGGAATGAGACTGGAACATAGGAGACCTACTCCAAAGGCTACACTTCCTTCCTCTCAGTCCCATGAATTTCTATTTCACTTTCTGGCACACAAATAATTCAACTGCCCAGGGTATAATGTTTCCACTGAGCTAATTTCCATAATTAAATAATCAAAATTCAAATAGATGGTTATTCCTAAAACTGGCAATGCTCTTTTCCTTAATAAAAATCCAATACTAATTAGGAATATTTATCACAAAATGTACTAAAGTCAAAGGTTCATTTTTTTTAACAATGTCAAAGACTAAGAATTAATGCATTATTTATTTTTCACTGTTAGGTTATGATCATCATTTCACACACAAAAAGAAAATCCAGAAGCACAGTTGGATACACTATGGATATCTTATATGACTCTTATAATATGCTGAATGTCTGGAGGCAAATATTGATTATTCAACATTCCATAGAGACTTGAGGGCCTGCCATGAGTGTGATTTTGTTCTGGGGCTGGGTATACAAAGCCAACATGGCCTATATCCTAACAGCCATTATAGACTAACAGGTGAACATTAATAAATTAAAAGGCAAACACTACTTACTCATAACCCCCCATCTAAATGATCCATCCAATCATTTCCCATGTAGAATAAATAGTGCTCAGTATATTTCTATATTGTCAAGTTATAAAGTTATTCTGCAATCCTATAAACAAATGTATACTTCAAAATACACATCCATATTAAGATATTAGTGAAATGTAAGAAATGAATGGCAGTGACATATTATCTAACAACCATAGGAAACATCAAAACACCTGTACATAAACAGAACACTCTATCTTGCTTTTTTTTTTCATATTCTAGATCATTTGACCCATTTTTAAATTCATATGGAAAAACAGAAAGATCTTCTCACTTGTATGTGCAACCGCTCATTCTCTTCTATCTTCTTTTGCAGATCTTCATCAAAGACACTCTTCTGCTCTTGGCTCAACTGAGAAGAAGTATCTCCACTTTTCTGATGGAAAGAATAAGTTATGTCCACATAACTTTCATCCTTTAGAGAAATATCCTAAGGTACACAGATTCTCTATCACCTTAGTAGCTTGTCTCTTCTACGTGTTCACCATTCTCAAACAATCCTGCAAAAGGTATACAGTCCATCATTTAACTTTTCCTATGTGATACAAGTTGGAACTGTAAATATTGCAGTGGGCAGGAAAGCTTAAAAAAGAGAGAGAAAAAAAAAACAGATAAGGCTCACTATTCTTTACATGTGAATTCAGGAGTATTTCTGCTGGAAAACAGAGACGACCCAAAGCTACTAATGTAAATATGCTACTAAATATCTATATGCTAATAAATATCATTTTGTTTCTTGTTGTTGTTTTGTTTGGAAAATAAAAGTTTTAGCAATTCCATGAGTCTCAGTTAAACTCCCTAAGATATTGTAATAAGTTATTTAACATTCACAAAGATAAATTTATACAAAAGTTCACATAAATTTCTAATTAAAAAAAAAACAAAGCTATTATAAACAGGAGAAAAAAGCTCAAAGACTATTTAAAATATCTTCCTTTTGCTTTTTTTTTTTTAACCAATATTAACTTTTCTACAAAGAAGAATAGCGCTATTTAAAAGACCCAATAATGAACATTTGTTTTCATGGAATACAAGAACTGAGGCTATTCAAGGGTCAGCCTAACAATGAAACTGTGTTCAGACATCAGTCACCGTTCTTCTCTGCTTTTTTTGTACCCTCACTCCTCACTTTAAATGAAATCACTTACTGATGCAATGTGACCCAATTATTAGGAAACCCTTTGAAAATAGAGTAGCTATATTAAAAATATATTAAATATCCATTGTGTTTGGGACATAGAGGTGCTTAAGGAACTGCTGAATTCATATTCTGTGTCCTTAATGCGTACAGATTCGGATAGGTTTAATTAACATGATTCCGGGAGTGTAACATGCAAACCTCTGCTAAACAGCCTTGGGAAGGGATCTCATTAATATGTGAAGCACATTTCAAGACAATGGCTATTCCTTCGCCAAGGGTCTTTCAGATTTTGCAGAACATGTGCATTTTGACACAGTTTTCCCAAGTGATTCTACTATACACCTTTTTGTTTGCTCTGTTCCTATCTGAAAATTACCACTCTAGAAAATTCTTTCATGTCAAGGAAATGCATATGGAAAGGTACTAACTTATAATTATGCGGATTGCCCATCATTTGGCAAATACAGTACTAGGCACTTTTACATGATCCCATGATCACAACAAGAGTATCACTCCCATTTTGCTGATGGAGAAACTAAAGTTGCAAGACTTAAAAATGTGCCTTAAGTCACAGACTATAAATGGCAGACAAAGAATCCAAGCTTGGGCTGTACTCCAAAGCCTGTGCTCTTCCTGCCACACTGTGCTGCCACAGAGTTACTGTGGGTCTTCCTCTTCCCCCCAAAACTCCGTTATTACTGCCTCACAGCCACAATTTGGGGGTACTGTTCTATATATATATATATATATATATATATATATATATATATATACACACACACACACACACACACACACACACACACACACACACACCTTAAAGATTTAATCACTAGGCCTAACCCTTAAAAAAAGAAAATAATGCAACTTCTTAAAGTACCAGATCATCCATCTTATAGCAGTAAGAATCTTTCTTCACCGCATAACCAAAAGGGGCAAAGGTTTTTTTATATCTTTGGATAAGAATATCAAATTAGCCTCATAAGAATAAGGAGTAAGAAAAAATCTACAGCAAACTTACAAGCCTAAGGTATGTAACTGCTACTTTCACATGAGCAGTTATACTTTGACAATGCTTCTCATTTTATTTGCCCTACTCTGAGTTAATGGCAACCTGGTATAACTGAAACATAATCATTTTGACCAATATGAGATATTCCTTTCATTTTCTCAGCCACTGAAATAAAATAAGTGCATGTCTGTTCTTAATAAATTCTTTTAAACTCACATTCATCTGAAAATGCCTCTAATTAGTGTATATTAATAGTAAATATCTGCTTTCTTGACCCGATATCCAGGTGTAATAATGGAACATTAGAGAATGTGAAGGTGACAAATTTATCTGTTATAAGCAGGATGGCTTACAGATGTCTGTACCTAATAACAAGGCTGCACTACCTTGCTTTTATCTGACTCACCTTGTTTTTCTTGCCTCGGGGTTCACTTAGAGCCAGTTCATCCTGAAGCAGTTCTACCCTCTTGGCAAGCTGCAGATTTCGAAATGTCAAACTGTCCATTTCCTGCTGCAGTTTTCTCAATGATTGATCCTTCATTTTCAGTTGTTCCTACATCAAAGCGAAAACAAACCATTCTTTATAAGTTAGCCCGAAGATTTAAAAATAATGGGGAAAAATTATTCTTGTTTCACCAAAATGTAATAAAAGCCTCTTGCTTTAGGGAATTCAAGTTGTATGTTCATCATTCCAATTCCTATGTTTTTAGCTCTGTTTTGTGGCAAAATCATTTTTTGACCAAACCAAGTAAATATAAAAATAAAGAGGGTCTATACTAAATAACAAGATAGTCATCAACTTAAAGTAAAATATCCATAATTATTTGTTGTCATATAATGTTATAAATGTGTCTGGCAGTGAGGAGACACAAAGCCTGAGGCTACAATTTTATAAACTTGAATTTTTAAAGAGAACCTCCAACTCAGCTAATGATGTCCTTTAGTAAACAAGAACAGCCAGAAGTATATTTGTATTCATGTTTCCTATAAATACTCCCTGAATTTAAGTTGATCCAAATGAAATCTTTTTTTAAAAAAATATATTTTATTGATTTTTTTATAGAGAGGAAGGGAGAGAGATAGAGAGCCAGAAACGTCGATGAGAGAGAAACATCGACCAGCTGCCTCCTACACAACCCCTACTGGGGATGTGCCCGCAACCAATGTATATGCCCTTGACCAGAATCGAACCTGGGACCTTTCAGTCCACATACCGATGCTCTATCACTGAGCCAAACTGGTTTCGGCCCAAATGAAGTCTTTTTAATACACTTAATTTTATTTTAAACTATTCTGATTTGTCAGAGACAAAAATTATTATTATCCTAACACAAAAATATTTTCAGCTGCTGTTCTATATTAATTTCCTTTTAAGTTTAGTGAAAGTAGAAACAAAATCTAAACACAACATGTCTTCTGCTGACCATTCTGTATTGTTTATACCATAATAGGGTAAGAAAATGGGGAAAATAGAGAAATATTTAGTTTCATTCTATTTTAAAAAAAATATTACTCAAACTACATTTTATTTATGATGTTCTGACAATGCTATATTCACTGGTAATCAAACACAGATGGCCAGATGCTAATGTATATTTAAAGATCTGTAGTTTTATTACTTTCACATTAAAACCACTGTAAAGCTAAGAAGAGGTCAAGTTTTAATGAATAGGTGATTTAAGTCTATTGAAACAGCAAACTAAAAACCATAGGCTGGTGCCTGCAGTCTACTGACATTATTTATATGTTGAGAGCAAGCTAGAGTGGTAAAATAATGTGTTTCCAATAAGTAGAAAAATATTGTTCTTTTCTATTGTTTGTTTAGTAGCCCTTTTCCTTTTAATGGTAAACTTAGTTCTACCCATGTCCAAATTATCATATGGTTCAAATTAAAGAAATTCAAATCAATGAAAGTATATTGTATCCACAACTCATTGAGGCAAAACCAATATAATCAAAAGCCTACTGTAACAAAAGACATCCTAACATTCCTACTGAGTGAACAACAAACTGTCATTCTTATTGTAATTATAATAATCACTGCACTGAATAGTAAAACAAAAGTAATTTCTTTACATTCTTATAACAAATCACTAGTTGACAAGTGCTCTAACTCCATTTTCCAATCATTAATTTCAGAAGACAGTTCCCCCAACCCCTCTGTAAATCCTAGTTTGTGCAATGGGGAGGATGACAACGTTATGTGCCCTCACAGAGCTAATGTGAACACTAACTGAGCTCATGGATATAATGTATTTAACACACAGTGAGTGCTCAATAAATACTACCTGCAGTCACCACTAGCACAGTCACCACCATCACCACTACCACAGAGTTAATCCAGCATGACCAGCACCAGGAGCGTGTCAAACCAAGAGTGGGCTACAAAGACAAGCTAGGAAGTACTTTCCCCAGGAACAGGTTTTAAACATCATTAGGAGAGATACTATCATTTCTTCAGTGATTTAGGAAAAGTAATAACTTGACTAACAAATTATGACAATAAAGTTTATTTTTAATCTTCTTGACTTGGGCACAGAGAGCTCTGGAAGTATGGGTAAGGCATCCTGAACCATCTCAGCCCTGAGGAGGGGACACTCTCAAAAGATAGCCTTCTCTAGTGCAGTGTCCAACAATGGCTAAGTAAGAGGACATGCTTCTGAGTCTCAGTTACCTGAATGAAACTATTGAGGCTAAGTTACTGGTTAGAGGCTACTCCAGAAAGAGGTAAGGGTAAAGGAAGTCCTAATCCCTTTGGTCTAAAGAACGAGCAAGGAAGAGAGCAAAAGAATGAGGTAGGCAGTATAGAGGTGTGGACAAAAGTAGGTTTACAGTTGTAATACAAATACATAATACAATAATTAATAAATAATAATACAAGAATAAACAGTTTCAGGTGCTCACGACTGTAAACTTACTTTGCCCATGCCTGTGCTTAACTGAAACTCAGGCAAGAAAGAATCCATATCCTAGAATTAATTTATCCAACTAAAAACATCACTAAGCAATATTTATTACATACCAACTAGGATGAGGCAGAAAGAAATTCCTTCTTCTACTACATATTTCTCTTTCAGTTAACAAAGATGCTAATGTTGCCGAAACTGGTTTGGCTCAGTGGTAGAGCGTTGGTCTGCGGACTGAAAGGTCCCAGGTTCGATTCCGGTCAAGGGCATGTACCTTGGTTGTGGGCACATTCCCAGTAGGGGGTGTGCAAGAGGCAACTGGTTGATGTTTCTCTCTCATCAACCATTTCTAGCTCTCTATCTCTCTCCCTTCCTCTCTGTAAAAAATCAATAATATATATTAAAAAAAAAACACACAAAAAGATGCTAATGTTAAAAAGTATCATCACACAGTGTCCTGATTAGCACAGGTTATTACTATTAAAAAGTTCAACCCAAAAGCAAGATGAATAGACTAAATGATTCACACTTTCAAATCCATTTATTAGGGAATAACCATCTGCTGAATGCTGGGAATATAAATATAAATGTGACATGGCCCTCCTCAGAGATCTGTCAGTGATCAAAACAGATAAGAAGCCCTATTAATTCAAATGCCAAATAAAGGCCTTGAGGTATAAGAGAAACACATTCAAGTCAAAGAATACATTTTTAAAATGTTTAGCTAAGGAAATCAAAGCACATAATATTCACACTGAAGGAAGTGAGAAAGTTAAACACACACAAAAAAACTGTATTACTCATCACTATTCCTAGTGAATTAGTGTCAGAGTTGGGACTTTAACCCACAAAATCAGCTAAATTCCCTAATTTAAGCAACACCAAACACTCACTTAACCTCACAACACAAATATCCTGTTGCATACCTTTAAAGCAGCAGAATTTGCTTGTTCATCCACAACCCCTTTTTTCAGAACCTGATTCTGAGCCCGAAGCTGCAAACAGAGTAAGAAATAGTTAATTTTTAATTTAAAGCAATCATTTTTAGCAAAAACAAACAAACAAAAACGCCATTACTTTACAGGAATCATATCACTGTCTTCTCATGTATATATTAGAACAAAAATATTAGCCCAGAGAGGATAGTAGGAATTACCATTCTGCCACTTTTCAGTGACTCGGCTGCCCATTGATAAAAAACACATAATCTGTGGCAAAATTGAGATTAAATCCCAGTCCCTCAACTTCCAGCACATAGTTCTTTCTAAGAAACCAAGTCACCTCCCTAAATAAAAACTACTACTTTCCTTGAAACTCTGGCACACCATTCATATGTAAAATATATGCAATTGGACCAATTACAGAATAATGAAACTACAGAAGATCAAAGTGTAGGACATCAACATACCCAGCAGGACTCTGGGCCTAATACTGCAAGCATCATTAAGAATGCAAACTTGCTATCGGGCATCAGCTGAGGCAGTTGAACCAAAAGCAACTAAGCAGCTGACTCAATGAAGAAGCAGCTAACATCTGAATGCTCGTGACATACCAGCGCTGTCCTAAGTGTTTTGCTTACGTTACTTCATTAAACCTCACAACCCTATGAAGTAGGTGCTACAGGGTGGGACAAAAGTAGGTTTAGAGTTGTTCACACGGAAAACAATGCAACAGTTAATAAATAATAATACAAGAATAAACTGTGTTTCATGTTCTCACAACTATAAACCTACTGTCACCCCACCCTGTATATTATTTCCATTTTATAGATAAGTGCTTTCCCAACACACCGAGGTTGCGGGTTCATTCTCTGGTCAGAGCGCACAGAAAAAGCAAACAATGAATGCATAAATAAGTAGAACAACAAATGGATGTTTGCTTTCTTCTTCTTTTCCTAAAAATGAATAAAAGTTTTTTTAAAAAGCAGTCCCTGTTTTCAAAGAGCTTATAAATTAAAAGGGAGGATGAAAGATAACAAGCAATCCTAGTATTTTCTGCTTTAAAAAAAAAAAAAAAAGAAAGAAAGAAAAAGCAATATAATTATTAAATTCTCTAGAACAGAGATTGGCACCCTAAGGGCCATGGACCAAACTGGCTTTCAGCCAATTTTAAAGTTTTACTGGAACACAGACACACTAATTATTTACATATTATCAATGATTGCTCTTGAGCTACAATGACAGTGCTCTTGAGCTACAATGACAGACACGAGTAAAGAACTGTGTGGACAGAAGCCTAAAATATTTGCTATTAGGCTCTTTCCAAAAAAAAGTTTGGGGACCTCTGCTCTAGAAGTTCAGAAGGAAATACCACTTTAATATTGATTTCCATCATGTATTATTTTATTTTTAAAGCAATATCAACATATTCTCGGGTAGAATGTTATTTAGGTAACAAAATTCAAAAAATACTTTCAAACCCAGTTAGCCAAAAGGCAGCAATACAACTTGGGTATCTAGGTTTCATTTCGTACCCCTGCCCTAACTTTGATCTATGCTATCTTCTTGGTGTGGTATTTAGAAGCTCCTAGAGACTGCTTCAAAGACTAGAGATGAAGCTTGAAGTCTACTGAGCTGTAAGTTTTCTGTAGGACCAGAACTACAGCAATAAAAAAAAATGATCATAATGAAAAATTATTTGAATTTTCCTTTTGAAAATATTGTTTGCTAAATTAGTAATTATTCAAACATGGTTTCAATGAAACTGCTTAATAGAAAATGCAGCTTTTAGAAAAATTTATCTAAAATCCCTTTCTATTATTTAGTAGGTAGAAAAGGATGACAATGATAAACGACATACTCCATTGCTATGTTAATTACACTTTGTAGCATTTGGCATCTTCCTGTATTTCAGCATCAGTGCTGCCACACTTGTGCATACTGAACCAGTAGCCTGCTAAAGGCTCGCACTGCTGTGATCAGTCTGGTCTTTTAGAATTTACTTCTCGCCAGCCTTTTCCACAGTGGGAGGCAAATGCAGATGGTTCCTGTTTTAGAAACAGATATAACATCACCAGTGGTCCTCCATTAGGACAGGAAGACAGTCCAGAAGGTGATATTGCCAAGAGCTGTGCACTAGCTCCTCCATTCCATTCAGCAGAGGAACAGTACCTCTGAATCCCACCTCTGAAGCCCTCTTAGTCCTTTAGCCCCACTGTCTTGTAATCTGATTACTCTGAAAGCACCGCCCTTCCTCATTGTGACCAACCAAACTCCAGCTGTTCTTCTAGGAGTTTACTTCCTACTTCTGGTCCTACTTCCCCCATAAATTTTTCCTAACCACTCCCTGTGCTCCCAGTATAGTCCACAGTGAGCCTGCCCCTTAGCTCCCTTAGCACTTACCAGTATAGTAACAAGGCACCTCTTATTAAACTGTCCAGTTTTAATTTTACTTTTAAATAGTAAATTTTACATTTATTAATTCATGCGTGATTTATGATTAATTTATTATTTCTCTACTCATCTCTCATCTGCCAACTCAACTGTCCTTTATGATAGATAGAGACAACAGTATAATCCTTTGTATCTCCAGACTACAATGAAAGATCAATGCTAGGAATAGAGAAGGTACTCAAATTTTTAAACAATCAAATTAAATACTGTATGCAAACAGTGTTTAAATGTAATGCATTATACGATTATAAGAGACTGTCATTGTTAGCAGTCTCTAAGCCCCTTCTCTAAATGATTTGAACTTCAAGTTCCTATTGGACACCAAGCAGTCTCAAAATCCTTGAGACTAACTCTTCAATGACCAGTCCTAGGTAACTTTGGACCTGTCCTAGGTAACTGGTTCAGGAACAGCCAAACCTGCATCAGGCTTATCACAAAGCTATTTTTCCAAGGGCAGAGATATAGTGGTGATCTCTCTCATGCCACTCTGACAATCTGTATTGAGATAACTGGCCCAATATTCAGGATTTACTATCTACAATCACAAACTGTTGGAAGAGTTTGTGGGGAAAGAGAGACAATCATTTATATGCATTTCTCATTTAATCCCCAACCATCTTCTGTGTCAGAACCACTCTCGCATAGCTATTTTCATACAGTGGGCATTTTAAGACTTATACATGTTGTACAACCCTATAAAAATAATCTTTAAACATATAGCTTTTTTTTCCATTGCAAGTGAATGAGTGCAATAGACAACATGGAGCCCATTCCTAAGCTTTATCAAAACCTTCATTTGCAGACCCCAGCTATAGCAATTCTAGCCTTGATAATCACTAAAATTCCTTTCAGAGCAGAACCTGAGGCCCCACCCGACTTACCAAACCAGAATCTGCAATTTAGCAAGATCTTCTAAAACTGAGTTCTTCAATGGCACTAGCCACATTTCAAGAGCTCAACACCCCCACATGGCTAGTGGTTACCCTACTGTACAGCATGAATGCAGAACATTTTCATTCTTGTGGAAAGTTTCATCGGATAACACTGAATACAAACAACGCTGTCTTCCAATCCAACTTTATAGTCAACCCTATGCATCAGGGTGGGGAAAAGCAAGTTGATATTCGATTTAAATCCAATCCAGCTTCTGAGCCTGTTTCTCTTACAGGAAGAGTTGATTAATCAGGTTTCCAGGCCCCACTATCTGGAAAGCAAACGCACAGAATCACAACTGACCTTCTCCCAATGAGTAGCTCTATACTAATGGCGTAAGTCTGTAAATTTCCTAAAGACAATATCCTGCATAACTAAAAGAAGCATCAATTGCCAAGTAAATTGTTCAAGAAATAATGAATGTCTGGTTTTCCCATTGGTTGCCAATTACCTCGAAAAGAATTTTTAAAAGATGAGACTATCATTCCTTGAGCAACAGTTCTCAAACTCTGGTGTGCATCCAAATCACCAGAGAGGTTTGTAACAACACAGACTACTTGGGCCTGACCACCAGTTTCAGATTCAGTGAGTTCAGGTTTGACCCAAAAATTTATTTCTATTTCTAACCCTTTCCCAGATCTAAGGATGCTGATCCAAGGGTTGCACTTTGAGAATTACTGACCCTGACGAACAAAACATGGTACCAGGCAAGAGTGTTCCTGCAAAGAAAGCAGATTGAAATTCATGATGAGATACACCAAAGCCTCAGAAGCATAGCAGGCCATGGAAGAAACACCAAGACATGGTCTTTGATTCTTCAACAGTGAAGCAACTAAGGCTTTGATTAGCTTTCCCTCACATCTCAAAGAAACCTCTGAAAATCAACTTCTATACATCTGTCTCCTCCACTAAACTCTATAAAACCTGAAATTTTATAAGTCTCCAGTGATGCTTCTTAATTGCCCAAACTACTAAGGTCTTAATGTCCACTTTTATGTTGTTTTAGCACCCTATCAGACTCAGCAATTCTCATCTGCTTTAGCCTCCAAGGTTCATCTTTTATCTAACTAAACTCTCAATCTCTTTAGTTGGAGCTCCTCAGTCTGTATTTTTCTTCTCAAGAGGAAAGACAATTATGACCACGATTCTTAAGTAAGAAACGAGCTCCTTCCAGGAACACAGGCTGATATCTAATTTATAAAAGAATGAGAAGATTCTGTAAATGTCCTTGGATTAGGAATCTTGTTTGTTCCTCTCCTGATATGTAGGCTTCCTTCTACATAATAAGAGGAAATCATTTTTTTTTCTTTGTAAACTAACTGGATTTCAACATCAGCCCACAATTTCTCCACCAGGGAAGGTAATAAGAAGGTAGAATACCCCTTACATAGGAACAGGATTGAAGATAGCATAGATTTTATCTAGAAATTGCTTGGCATTAGAACTGACAGGAAATAAAAAACAAATGAAATCTTTAGACCAAAACTCTGTTCTCTGGTGTTCTGAAATTAAATAAAATCTAAAACTGAGTTATTCACATCAAAATTAAAAGGATGAAAAATGGTCTGGTCCAATAGGAGAGAATACTTCAAGTCTGGTAGACCTGTTAGTCTTCTTAGCACCTCCTCTTCCTGTCATGTCCTTCCCAGAGATGTTCCCCAAATAATCTACCTAAAGTGTTCTCCCCTGATTCACTCTTATAGTTCAGCTATCGTCTTTATGGGAATTATTCCAAAAGTCCTGGCCTTTGTCCTGACTTTTAGCCAGTCCATCTCCACTAGAAATTTTCTCCAATTACCCTAACATCAATCACTTCAATCTACTATATGAATAAGATGACTTTAATGTGCCTTCCAGCCCAAAAATTCTATGATTGTATCCAAACTTCATTTCAAATTGGCTGGCCTTTGTGCCCACCCTCCTCTGTCAGTGGCAGTCATGTTCCCTCATCTCAGAACTTCAGGGTCAACCCTCAGTCTTCTTCCCTCACTTACCATGTCCCACAGAATGAATAAGACACAAAGATGAGGCCCTCATATTATACATTCTTCATATCCATCATGAGTTTAGTGCTATGTGAAAAGCTGTGACTCAGCAAAGAAGCTAAAAAGTATTTTTAACCGTTATTCCTAAATCTAGGCCCCCTCTTCATCTCAACTGTCACTATTTTCATTTAATTCTACATTACTCTCCCTCAAACTATTCCAACAGCCTACAATCTGGTCATCTTTTCACCAATCTTTCCTTACTTAATCCATTCTCCAAATAGTCACCTTTCCTTCCTGAAAGTGATATTATGCCCCTGTTTAAAAACCTCTGATGTTTCTCCACTATTCAAAAACTAAAGTTCAGACTTCTTATCTAACATCCACAACCCTTCGTGATCGGGTCCAAATTACCTCTCCAATATTTCACCATTCTCTGTCATGCAACTTAGCGTGCTTTCTCGTCCACCAACATAGCCTTTCCCCTTTGCCTGGAATGCTACCACCCTTCCCTCTCTTCCCTACTCCCCAATCTCATAACTTCTATCCTCACCCTCCATCTCTTCTGTACATCCACTGACCTAACGCTTGTCATAGTGTATTATAATTACCTACAATGTTTGAACATTCTATTCAAGGGATCTCCTGAAGCTAGAACTCTGCCTCACTCAACCAACTCTGGCAGTCTGCAGGGGGAACAGTAAGTATCTGTTGAATGAAATGACTTAAATGTCCAAAAGAACAAACTATTTCAAAGTTTTTACTACTTTCTTTGGGAGATTATACAATTTTTCAGCAATGCTGTCATTCCTCAAACATTTCTTGGAACGGCCTTCTGAGCATTGAAACATCTTTCCCCAAAATAACAGAGTCAAGTTTGTGTACTATTGCCATCCTCCACCCATCCCACTTCATCATATGGATTTGTTCCAAGCGACTCTGGTCCTTTCAAACAAGAAAATATTCTTTCAAAAAAAGAAAACTATCATCACTGACACTGTACACAGGCGCTTAGGACAATTTCTAACGGAAATGCCAACGGTAGCGCTGCTGGAATAAGTGTGGTATCTCAAAAGGCTCCCCCCATTGGAGGGTCAAAAGACTAGTGTTGTATGTTTAGGCATGGGTTTTATTTTTTTTTTTTCATTTCACCTTGATGAATATTTGTTACATGAAATCATAAGAAATAAATGTGTCTCGGTTTCCCCGAATTGTAAAAAGGTACCTAAGTCTTTCCAGTGCCACCATCAATGCTGCGATCATTGGAAACTAAGCTTAATGACTACTACATCGATTTCCACAGAGGTAAGATTCCGCTTTTATAACTTCATTAGAACATTCTGAAAGCAGAAACGCCCTCCCCAGAAGCAGCCCTTTTCCTAAGAAAGGATTCCATCATTTAGAAGACTTATACCATAAGCACGACAAAAGGCATATTCCAACGTGTACTGAACACCTGCTGGGTGGGTGCCCTGCTCCACTCCAAGGGACTGGGAGGAAAGGACGCAGCCCTGGGATTCAAGCTTTCAAAACCACTTCCACACATCTTGCTAAATCACTGAATATACAGTAACCACCATGCCTGGTGAAACAGTTTACATGACTCTATTTTCCCTCCCGAATTGAATGGGGGGCAGATAGATGGGGGGTTGGAAAATTGAGGAAGCAGCACCCTCCGGCCAGCACCGGAGGCAGAAGGCAGGGTTTCTGACATCCAGTCCTAAGCCCGCTAGTTCAGTTAAAAGGAAGAATCAAACTCCAGCTCCTCCCCGCAGCAGCCCACACGACCCGGACACCGCCCCGCTCCATCTCCTGGGAGCTGCAGGTGGAGGCTCGGGAATCGTGGTCAGATGAGGCGAAGGAGAGAGGGGTGGGTGCGCTCGCGTGATCCCCTCCGCGGTACCTCCCAGTCCGGACAAGTCAAGGCAACCCGAGGCCGCAGGGCCGGGGGACCCCTCATCCCCGCCCATGATGGGTACCTTCGAGTACTCCTGAGCCAGCTTCTGGTACTTCCCCTGCAACTCTGCGGAGGCCATGGCCTCCCCCGCCCCGTCCAGGCCAGGCTGCCCAGGCCCTGCAGCCCCGCCTCCCACCCACCAACCCCTACACGCTGCCGTGTATAGGGCTCCGCCAGCGCCTGTCCGCTGGGCCACCACCGCGCCGCCTCCTCCTCCTCCTCCCCCTCCTCCACTTCCGGGTTCGCCCAGGGGCGGGGCGACCGTCAGGAGGCGGGGCCGCGTCTTTACGTCACCGCCCCGCCCTCCCGCGCCCGAGCACATGCGCGCGCAGCCTCGCTGGCTCTCCCAGGTTCGGCCCCCCGGACCGGGGGGCGCCATCTTGACGCATGGTCCAAGATGGCGGCTTCAAAGGGAGACGGCGAGTCCGGAGGGGAAGAGAACGACGGGAGTACACAGACTGGGCGGGGGACCGAGGAGAGGGCGGTGGCTGCGGAGAGCCGAGGACCGGAAGGAGAAACATTCTAAGCCTATTAGGAATTCTGGCCGACCCGCTGTCCCTTTCCCCGGCTGTTTCCCATGGCAACCGCCTGGCATCGGCGGGTTGCAGCTTTGGAGACCTGCTCCCTCCCGGAGAAGGACTTCTGTGTTCCGCCGTCTCTGTATCCGGATGTGGCGGCGCCGGACATGCCTGGCATTGTAAACTCTCAGACCTCCCCCAAATGGATGACAATTGCTGCTGCCGCCCTCCCCTGCTCGACCACAGACAAACCTCTACTGTCTTATATTTTGACGTTGGGGATTCTTTGTGTTCCGTCTCTACCCTCACCATCCGCTCCCCGCCCCCCTGCCCCCGGCGGTGCACACCCCATCCGAGCCTCCTTGGCGGGTTGGGCGAAAAGCTGCTAAAAGGTTCCGAGTGCCTCCTGCCACGCGTGCACGTAGGGCGGGCGTTAACGACAAACAGCTGGAGAACTGAAACGAGAAGTAGTCTGTCTGACATTTATTTTGTGCCGCTTGTGCTTGAATTAAAAGCCTGCCTCTGCCCCTTTATTAAATAATGTTTGAGGACCTGTTATATCTTAGATGTTGTTCTAGCGGTGCATGTATTGCTACGCGGAAATGTCCATTGATAGAGGAATGAAATACACTCAATGTATACGTTTGCCATACATTACAACACGGCAGTTAAAACTGGTGATCTGTATACATAGCAACATAACAAAGCATTATTTAAAGTCCAATTGCAGTATACTTTAGTATGAACAGATATTTAAAAAGCACTCAGCAGCATTGCTCATGAACACATGAACATGTGTTGAAAATAGAGAAGCAAGAACTGGAAGGGTACACATCAAATTCTGGAAAGTGGCCACTTCTAGTGAGAAACGGAGAAGAGGAATGGAATAGGAGAACAAAGGAGCATAACTATTTTTATTTAAATTTTTAAAGTAAATATGACAGGATGTTTACATTTATTATCTAGGTAGTAGATCGAAGGGTGTTGATTATATCAGCCATTAGAATGCTTGACATTTTCTATAATTTAAAAAAAAAATGTTTTGTGCTTTCCTGGTTTCTTGTTTGGCTATGAATATGCCTGGAATTTTATAGTGAAAGCTGAGTTTGTATGCATTTTGCAGCCACTGTAATGAATAAGAGGATTAAAAATGTTTTAACATGTTTATATTTTTCTATTTGCTAATTAATAGCCATGTCCTATTATTCAGAACACTTTAAGAACAATAGTTTTATTGCTATTTTTTATAGAGCCACTAAGCAGTGAAATTAAATATTTTATGTATATTTCTGTGGTTTGTAATGTAATGGGATTTTCAGTCATAAAAATAAAATGATTGAAAATCCTATTATAAACATCTCAGAAATAACATTCCAAAGAAAGAATGTGCAACTTTGGCTATAGAGCCTGTGTAAGCTCATTTTACTAAATTGAGGAATTTATTTTACATTGCTTAATCTAGTTATTCTGTCAGATACATTATTTTCAAATCCCAGTTGATGTCTGAATACATTAAAGTTAACACTCTCTTTCTCAAAGACACTATTAAGTGAGTGAAAAGGCAATGCAGAGTGGGAGAAGATGCTTGCCACATATATATCTAACAGAGGTCTCATCTAAGTATATAAAGAGCGCTTACAAATCAGTAAGGAGAAAGGCAACCAAATAGAAAAATGGGCAATAAACTTCAACAGTAATTTCATAAAAGAAGATATACAAATGGCCATTAAATGTAAAAAAGGGTGTTCAGTTACATTAGTAATCAGGAGGAAGTGAAATTAAGACCACAATAAGAAACCATGCACACCCACACAAATAGCTAAAATTAAAAAGACTAGAAAAAAAAAAAACACACATAAAAAGACTGACAAGTATTAGTAAGGATATGGAACAAGAGAAGCTCTCCTAAAATGTATTATAGGTAGGAATGTAAACTGGAACAATCACTTAGGAAAAGAACTTGGTATTTTGACTCACCTGAAAAAGACACATTCATGACCTAGCAAGTCTACTCTTACATACACACTTAAGAAAATGTGTGCACTAGCAATATTTATAGCAGTATTATTCATAAAAGCCAAAAAAAAAAGTCTATCAATGAAATAAAGATTGAACATTCATATTATGGAATACTAGACAGCAATTTTATAAAACTGAACTACAGCCCCAGTTAACTACTAGATAAATCAAATTCAGAAGAAAAGAAGCCAGTTCCTAAAACATTTACATTGTATGACTCCGTTTATATAACGTTCAAAAAAGGTCAGGATTCAACTATAGGGTTTAGAGGTGCGTGCTTGGGTAACAAGACTAGAAAGAAAAATAAGGAAGTGATAACCATAAAGTCAGGAGCTTGATTACGTCTAGGAGGGAAGAGAGGAGTAACTATTGGGCTTCAGAGATGATGGCAATATTTTAATTCTATGCGATAGTTATACGGGTGTTGACTTTGTGATTATTCCTCATGGGATACACTTTTGCTTTGTGCACTTCTTTGTATGGGTTTTACATTTCACAATAACAAAAAAATTTTTTTTTTAATCTTGTCTCATAATGCTTTCCAGCAATAGTTGCCAACCTATAAATATAGTATATTTGTGGGGAATGGTGTAACTTAAAGTGGCTTGGAATTATTGTAAATATGCAAGTTCTGTGATGATCATTAAAGCATTTAAAAACATACTGTAGCCCTCGGCTGTTGTGCCTCAGTTGGTTGAGCATTGTCCCAGTGCACCTAAGGATCACCAGTTCGATTCCCAGTCAAAAGTGGGTTGTGGGTCCAATCTCTGGAGAAATGGACCAGGCACCAGGGTAGAGAGAGAGGATATCTTTTAAAAGAAATTTGTTTTAAAACATACTGTTTTAGGATTTTCCTTTTCTTAGTTGCAGGTGTCAGAAACTGGCACTAGATTGTACTCAGGGGGGAAATTGACTAGACAGATGCATGGATAGATGACAACAATAGGAAGAAAAGAGGAGCTGCAGGCTGTCAAGTATAGCTTGAACCAAGGATCATGATGCTTCTGCAACGTTCATACTCTGTCCGTGCTGTCTGAGCCAGGCCACCTCTATTTCTGCTGGGTAGTAAGCATGCAGCCCCCAGGTCCTGAGCCTCTTATCTCACAATTTTACCTGCAGAGAGCAACTAGGTTGCTTAGTTTCAGTTTGGGGGGGGGGGGGGGGTAGGGGGGAGGAAGTTCTCTGGTGGCCCATTTGGGGTGAGGTACATCCCTGAGTCAGTCAGTTCTGGCATGAGGTCTCAGTCGCATAGGACAGGGAAGTCTGCTGGGAGAACCCCTAGGTGATGACCAAACCACGAGAGACTAGATGGCGCTTTCCTCAGATGAAGGCTTCTGTGGAGGTTAAGCAAAGCTGCAGTGTCCGCCCCCCACTCCCACACTCCCCTGGGAGGGAGAGGACAGCACTCAGAACAAGTGAGCCTTTTCTGAAAGGAGGGGCTGTTGTAAACTAAAAGAAAACTGTTTTGACTGAAAAGACTGGGAAATGACTAACTGACGAATTAGGCTTTCCCTTTCAAATGGAGAGGAGACTGGGGAAAACCAGATCTGACGCAGGAAAGGGAAAAGCTGCATTTTCTCTATATATCTAAGCTTAGGATGAGTCAATTATGATCCCACAGCACTAGCAAGAAAAAGTTTTGGAGCCTATTGTTCATACTCCATCCTGAACAATAAAAGATCTGGATAAAACAAGATTTGAGGACTTCCTTGTGCACGGTGAAGGAATAATGATGGAGGACAACATAACTGTTGACTATTCAATGTTGACAAATCAATAATATATTTTAAATAAGGTGTCTTTTAAACAGAAACATGCCTACAATCATGTATTGATCAGTTGAGTGGGGCTTGCAGGAAACCTACTGCTTTATTTTCCCTTGGAGCAATGTTCTTCACTAATTCAGGGTTTGTTGTGATTTAACAGAACACTACTGCAAATAATGGGAACCAACTATATGTACATAGAGAATAGTATGGAACTTCCTGTGGTTACACAGTCATCAGTTATACCACCGGGTTACTGAGAAGATGTTGTCAGTCTCTGAGTGAGTATCATTTCATGGTACAATAGAGTTGTGTGTTTTCCATCTTTACATACATCTGAAAATCAAGAACTTCTTCCAAGCTTCAAAGCTCTGTCTCCTGAAATCATACATTCTACTTCATAATAACCCGTGGGTATGTAGCAGCTACCACAGTGATGTCAGCTAGCCCCACCAGCATCTCTCCACTCAACCGGTAAGAGAACTAAGTAAAGCCCAGCCGCCCTGGCTCAGTGGCGAAGCATTGACCTATGAGCCAGGAGGTCACCGTTTGATTCTCAGTCAGAGCACATGCCTGAGGTGTAGGCTCGATCCCCAGTGTGAGGCTTGCAGGATGTAGTCAATCAATGATTCTCATATTTCATGTTTCTATCTCTCCTTTTCCCTCTCCTTTCCTCTCTGAAATCAATAAAAATATGTTTGTTTGTTTGTTTGTTTGTTTTTTATTTTGTTTTTTAAAAGATAAGTAAAGTTTTTCTCTGGCCTGGTTTCACAATC